TAACATTTAACATTCTTTGGCTTAAATATATATATATATATATATATATATATATATACAGTTGATTAGTCAGAATTATTAGCCCCCCTGAATTATTAGCCCCCTGTTTATTTTTTTCCCCCATGATGACAATTTAGGGTAATTAGGCAGGTTACTGTAAAACAATGGTTTGCTCTGTAGACTGTCAAAAATATAGCTTAAAGGGGCTAATATTATCGACCTTAAAACCCTGTTTAAAAAATTAAAAACTGCTTTTATTCTAGCCTAAATAAAACAAATAAGGTTTTTGTTTATCTTCTTTTTTAGAAAACATAGTTTTAAAAATATGATATTTGTTTTGACTCATTTATATCTGTTTTGTGTTGTTATTTTTATTATTATAATATTAATTTTAAATAAGTTTTTTATTTGTTAAGTAACAGGAGGATTACTTTCAATAACATTACATTTATTACACTACAGAAATTTTATTTTGTATATTTTGTATTTACATTAATAGAAATATATTCAAATATAATTGCATCCTTGCCGTCTTGATAGTTGCTTGCATATTGAACCTAAACGATAAGATTGCACACCCAAACTTCCCACCATCCCAAATATATAAATATATATATATATTTATATATACAATGTAAAAAAATCTTGGGTTCCACACAATTCCTTCATTTCGTAGCAAATGCAAAAGGATAAAGCTTAGTATAAAGAATTTTAATAAAGAATAAGTCGATAAAAAATTTAAGTTGTCCCAAAAAAAAACTTAAGAATTGTGTTGATTCTGCTCATTTTAAGTAGTTTGAACAAGCAGCAAAAATATTATTTGAGTGTTGAATTTAAATATAATTTAATATTTTATTAGACATTATTATATATTAATAAATATATAATTTTAAAAAATAATACATTTTTTGTATAGATTTGAGGATGTTTAAATTAATTTAATTTATTTGAAGACAAAAGTAACAATAATTATAAAAGCACAAAACAAAACTGTCAAAGCCTTGAGTAAAATTTAATTCGAATATACAATAAAATAAAAAATAATTTATAGTATTGCAATGATGTTGAATTAACATTGTGCCACAGATGTTTGTTAATTGTCTTTTTTAGAAAATATTTTATAATTTTGTATCATTTATATCTATTTTTGTATTATCATTTATATTATTATTATTTATATTATTATTATTGTTATTATTATTATTACTATTATTATTTTTATTACTATTATTATGATTAATATTATTATTATTATTATTACTATTATTATTATTATTATTATTATTGTTATTATTATTACGATTACTATTGCTATTATTATGATTAATATTATTATTGTTGTTATGATTATTATTATTATGTTTTTGATTAGCTTTTAAGTTAAGTTTCAGGAGGATTACTTTCGTCAACGGAACATAAATTACATAAATTTAATTTTGTCATTTGAAATCAAATAAATGTTATACTTTTAAATATAATTATATATACACTGTAAATAATGTTGGGTTCCACACAATTCATTTATGTGGTCCCAAATGCAAATCGAATAAAGAATATTAATAAAGAAGAAATCAATAAAGAAATGTTTTTCAAAATTTTAAGTTGATTAAACAAAAATTATGTTGCATTAAAATTGTGCCACAGACGTTTGTTTATTGTCTTTTTTTTTAGATAATATTGTTTTTTTTTAATATATCAGTTTATCATTCATATATATCTTGTATTATTGTAATTATAATGTTTTTGATTAGTATTTATTTACCAAGTTAAGTTTATATGTATATATGTACACTATGGATAATACAGGGATCCACACAATTTCTTCATGTTGTCCTAACACAAATCAATCAATGAACATAAGCATTTATTTAATTTAAGGATTGAACATTAAACATTTAAAATGTTCCCAAAAACAACTTAAGAATTGTTTTATTCCAAATCATTTTAAATACGAGTTTGACCAAACTTTTTTTTTTATTCTACATGCACTAAAATACCTAACATTAAATATATAATATAAAATATATAATATAAAATAATATAATTATAATGTTCAGAACATTAATAAAAAGTATAATAGATTTAAGTATAACTTTCTGATGTTTTTTTATGTCTGGGAGGGTCAAAACAATGAAAGCGCTCAAGTTGAAGTCACAGTTGGACACCAAATGCTTGTTTGCAGTTTTTATAGTCCTGAAGTTCTTTTAAGTGAAGCAGCTTGACAGACATAACAGTAAACATGTTTACAGCATCAGACCACCCAACTCTATCATGACTTCTACACACACCGTGAAGATCCTGACGCCTGTACAGCACACACGTCCTTCAGATACTTTCATTTTACCACACACACACATACACACACACACAAACACGTGTGTGTGTGTGTGTGTGTGTGTGTGTGTGTGTGTGTGTGTGCGTGCGTGCGTGCGTGCGTGCGTGCGTGCGTGCGTGCGTGCGTGCGTGCGTGCGTGCGTGCGTGCGTGTGTGTGTGTGTGTGTGTGTGTGTGTGTGTGTGGATGTTTCCCAGTGATGGGTTGCGGCTGGAAGGGCATCTGCTACATAAAAACTTACTGGATAAGTTGGCGGTTCATTCCGCTGTGGAGACCCCGGATTAATAAAGGGACTAAGCCGACAAGAAAATGAATAAATAATATGGTCATTATTATTAAATGTTATGTTTTATATGAATTATTGCATTATATTTATTGAATTATATGCCCCATGAATTAAATTAAGTATTTGCCCTTCAAGGCTTAATATTAAATTTAAAGACTTCAAAAGAACAGACTATAAGCAAATGAGTTTAATAAACACTGAAAAGTGTTTCACTGAATATATATACGCTAATAAAAATATTTCACATTTAATAAATACATTTTTTAATATATTCGTTTCTTTTTCCAACAGTGTAAAATTTGACATTTAATCTCATTGTCAAAAAATGCTTCTAAATCATCACATTTACAAACATCTCAATTTGTGTGCGGCATTATTTAGCCGACTCTGATTTTGTATGATTTAGAAAACGTAAGTATTTTATGTTTTCCCAGTTTAGTGGCTAATTTTAGTGACTGAACTCGTACGAATTCGTATGATTTTAAAAAGGAGGCGTGGCACCTAACCCCACCCCTAAACCCAACCATCATTGAGGGATGAGCAAATCACACAAAAATGTACGAATTAGATCCTATGAATTCATACGAATTAGCCACTAAATCAAAAAGTTATGGATTTCCGTGAGATTGTGTTGGATTTTTGTGTTTCTTTCTGGTCTTTCCCGTTGTCAGTGGAGCAGTCTGGCGAAATGACAAAGAAAGCTGATCAGAAAGAACCTTATAGAGCCAAGCTAGAGTTCAACTTTGTAGAAAAAACATTTTTGTTTTGTAAATAAAAAGTCTTAACAACATAAAAACACATCACATAATGTAAATACGCTGTCATTAATAAAGAATGTCAATAACTCAATTTTGACAGAAAAGTCAGATAGATCCTAATCCTAAGGTGATGTTGTTAGTCATGATGAAACTGAAGTTAAAGCTGTATTACATGTTTACTGTTGAAATGGTTTAGTCTTCGACCAGAATGTTGAGACTACAAAACAAATTCAGCAACACGAGCAACATAAAAGGCTGAAATCATTTTTATTTCTTATATACTTTACATATAAAACTTTTATAAAAATGTTCATGCTCGCTAATAAAAAAGATATAAAAGCACAAACTATTACAATACATTTCATTAATATGACTGAAGTTTAAGACAAAATTATCCGCCCTCCTATGAAATTGTTATTTTTGTTTTCAAATATTTTGATGTTGAATGTAGATATTTTTAAAACACATTTTTAAACATAAGGGGTTATATTATTCTAGCTATTTAGTAATATACCAATATTCAGCTTAAAGTGCAATTTAAATGGTTGATTAGATTATGTTAATTAGACAAGTCATTGGACAACAGTGGTTTGTTCTGTAGACGATCAAGACAATTCAAACAAAAACTATTTTAAGGGGGTTAATAATTTTGACCTAAGCAATTTTAAATATGCAGTGTGTGTATGTATATGTATTATATATATATAAACAGTTGAAGTCAGAATTATTTGCCCCCTTTGACTTTTCTTTTTTTAAATATTTCCCAAATTATGTTTAACAGAGCAAGGAAATTTTCACAGTATGTCTGATAATATTTTTTCTTCTGGAGAAAGTCTTTTTTTGTTTTATTTAGGCTAGAATAAAAGCAGTTTTTAATTTTTTAAACAGGGTTTTAAGGTCGATAATATTAGCCCCTTTAAGCTATATTTTTGACAGTCTACAGAGCAAACCATTGTTTTACAGTAACCTGCCTAATTACCCTAAACTGTCATCATGGGGAAAAAAATAAACAGGGGGCTAATAATTCTGACCAATCAACTGTGTGTGTGTATATATATATATATATATATATATATATATATATATATATATATATATATATATATATATATATATATATATATATATAAGCCAAAGAAATTGCAAAGAATAAGTACTTTCTCCAGAAGAAAACTTATATCAGGAAATACTGTGAAAAGTTTCCTTGCTCTGTTAAACTAAATATTTGAAAAGTAATTGAAATCTCACAGGAGGGGTAATAATTTCACTCATAGGTTATGTACATAAATTCAAAATACTAAATATTTACACACATTTCTTTTAAATATTAAATATTTCCATAATTTTGACAGCATTTCAACAGTTCATTCATTTATTTGCCTTCGGCTTAGTCTCTGATTTATCAGGAGTCGCCACAGTAGAATGAATCGCCAACTCATCCAGCATATGTTTTACACTGCGGATGCCCTTCCAGCCGCAAGCAGTTCAATAGTGCTGGTTTGAAATTCTCCAAAGCATGTGCTTGGAATGTTTTAGGATCTTCCTCTGGAGCGTTTTATTTTTCGTCAGTGTTGAAGAAGAGAATATGCTGATGATCATCACTGACAGCCAACTTCTCCATGATCATCAATGACAGCCGCACTCCTCCACGATCATGTCCTCGTGGTGTCTCATCACCACTCCATCCCCTTCATAGTAAAGCATGGAGAGCGAACTGAGGCGCAGCGGCACGCAGGACGGACAGCTGACCCGCTCAGGTTGGTAGAGCTTCAACAGACTCTGCAGACACACACACACACACAAATAACAATGATATTATTAATATTACTCATAGACTGATCCAGATGCTCATACACACTACTATACATTAGATGAGCCATGAGTAGGCCCAGATAGAATCTGTGCACATTTTGATCTATTTCTGTTGAGAATTTTGTGGAGACCCCAGATTAATTAAGAGACTAAGCCGAAAAAGAAAATGAATGAATATAAATTTACTCAAATAAATAAATAGACTCAATGATGGGCTGAAAATCTGCAGATTTCTGCGTGCACAGATTCCATGTGATTCCGGGATGAGTCATTTTGTTCATTAAGGGCATTCAAATATTTGAACATTTGGGAAATATTTCCCACAAAAAAAAAAAAATCATGTGTATGTGACCTTTTAAACCTGTATTTGGAGGGCAAGTACATTTAAATCAATTTGCACCAATTATGAGAGTTTTAATGTTATTGTATAAATAATATATGGTTTGAATTTTATACTTTTAAGACTACAATATGAACAAAAATAAAAACCCCAAACCGATCCTGAGTATAACAAAAAAAAAAGTATGACAAAAAATATATATAACAAACTGAATTCAATAGTAATGATGTAGGCTACCATGATGGGACAATCATTTAAAACTATGTCTGTAGGTCAGTTTGACATAAATAAATAAATAAATAAATAAATAAATAAATAAATAAATAAATAAATAAATAAATAAATAAATAAATAAATAAATAGGTGATAGATAGATAGATAGACAGACAGACAGACAGACAGACAGACAGACAGACAGACAGATAGACAAACAGACAGACAAACAAACAAATAAACAAACAAACAAACAAACAAATAAATAAATAAATAAATAAATAGACAGACAGACAGACAGATAGAGAAATAAACAAACAAATAAATAAAAAAATTAATTAATTAATACATGAATAAATAAATAAATAAACAGACAGACAGACAGATAGACAGATAAATAAATAAATAATTAAATAAATAAACAAACAAACAAACAGACAGACAGACAGACAGACAGACAGACAGACAAATAAATAAACAAATAAATAAATAAATAAATAAATAAATAAATAAACAAATAAATTAATTAATACATGAATAAATAAATAAATAAATAAATAAATAAATAAATAAATAAATAAATAAATAAATAAATAAATAAACACAGACAGACAGACAGACAGACAGACAGACAGACAGACAGACAGACAAATAAATAAACAAATAAATAAATAAATAAATAAATAAATAAATAAATAAATAAATAAAATTCACAGCAACTTTCTTATACAACATTAAAGTACACAAGTACACAAGTCTCATAATCAGTACAAAAACATTTAAAATGTTGCATACAGTTTTAATACAGATACACAGGATTTTTTTTGTTCATTTTTTAATCATTTCCCAAATGTCTAAATATTTTAATGTCCTTAATGAAATATTATGTATTATGTAAAGACAACTTATAAATGGTGCAAATTAATTTTAATGTATTTAAATTTAGACATTTGTAATGCAGCGTTTATAGAGGCAGGACAGTAAATCTGGCATTATTCTTTTTTCTGGCTGCCGTTATCAGCCTCACACTATTGTTTTCCTGTTATGAAAGTCTTGATAACACCATCGGGGAATTTTTCCATTATTATTTCAGCAAATAGGATTGTAAAACTGATTTGTTGTACTCTCCCATGCACTGCACTGTAAGTTAACCAACTATGACGACTTCCACTACTGAGAAACCCGGAAATGTGAAAAGGCACTTTTTTTTTTGAGTGCTGACATATTATAAATAATAAATATGATCTCAAACATTAAAGTATGTATCTCACCTGCATGTAAGCGTGGTTTGTTGGGTTGTAAGTCTCATCCAGAGGACTCGGACATTCCCCTTCGCATCTGTATGCATTATAGCGCTTGGGATGCACGATCCACTCATCCCACCCAATCTGATCAAAATCCACCCACATATCAACCCGCCGGCAAAGTGAAGCTTGCTGTTCCTCTGAAGGTGTTGGCTTTCCTGTCACATTTCTGTCATCAGTCATGCGCATCCTTTCCACACGGTTTCGTTTGTGTCTCCGACCCTGAGTTCCATCTGCTGGTCGGTTCAGCGTGACGTATTTGGACTGCGCCACTGTATTCATCAAGCTGGAAGCGCTGTGGGTCACAGTTTCTTTGTAGAAAACTACAATCATGACTCGTTCTGCTGTGGGATGCTGGATTTTTCTTGGCCAGCTGCTTGTGAGAGATTCAATAAAGTCGTCTCCGCTTCCACTTCCACTGCCCTGGTCATAATCTGGTGCCGTGACCCGGTCTGGTGTATCCATTCCCTGAATCAGCCATTGCTGTAGGAGTTCTGTAATGTTAAAAACTCTCCAGGATGATGATGATTGGGAGACGTCTACTGATTTAACGCTGCCCAGAAACAGTTTTTTGTTGCGACAAAACACGGAGTCAGATGCACAATGCTGTTTATGCTGATGGAAGATGTCTACAGTCACGCGTCTGGATGCAGAAAACGCCGGCAGCCGAATGCGAAGCTCCGAGAGCTGGATGTTGTCACTCGCTGACAGGGAAGACATGTCAAAGGAGACGGTCCATCGCTCTTCAGTTTGATGACAGTCTGGAAAATAAATAAAACATGCTAGTATTGACCTTATTCCTGATGTACGAGAGGCCGCAGCCTTTGGAATCATTTTGGGTCAAGACTTTCGCTCTTTCACTGATTTTTAGACGTTACAAACAGCTCGTTGTGCTTCTTGATGTTGCAACCTGACTTTTTTCATTATATTATTTAGCTTTTTATGTATAGTCATAAACACAATTGTTTGGAAAACAAGTAATTTGACCGTTTACTACTCCTACTCTGTTAAAAGTTGGGTTAAAAGTACCCCACGTATAAACCAACTATAGGTTATTATAGCACCTTCCCAACTACAGTCAGAAGTCAGAATTATTAGCCCCCCTGAATCATTAGCGCCCCTGTTTATTTTTTTCCCCGTTTTCTGTTTACACAGAGAGTTTTTTTAACACATTTCTAATCATAGTAGTTTTAATAATACATTAATAACTGATTTATTTTCTCTTTGTCATGATGACAGTAAATAATATTAGACTAGATATTTTTCAAGACACTTCTATAGAGCTAAAAGTGACATTTAAAGGCTTAACTAGGTTATTAGGTAAACTAGGCAGGTTAGGGTAATTAGGCAAGTTACTGTATTTCTGTAGACTATCTGAAAAAAAAAATAGCTCAAAGGGTCTAATAATTTTGTCCTTGAAATGGTGTTTAAAAAATTAAAAACTGCTTTTATTTTAGCCAAAATAAAACAAATAAGACTTTCTCCAGAAGAAAAAATATTATCAGACACACTGTGAAAATTCCCTTGCCCTGTTAAACATCATTTGGGAAATATTTTTGATCTCAAATCAATTATAATTTTTTGTTCTCCATTTATCATCAAATGCACACTAAGTAATGTAGCCTATAGCTTTTGCCACACACATTTCCTAAAGGGAAGCACAGTTTTAAATGACATTCTGTGAAAAGAGAAGCACAAAAAGACAAAGTAATTTTCAGAAGAAAAAAATTAAGATATTAACCAACAAGATTCATTAAATAAAATAAAACAGCCGATTAACATCAACAAATATACTAAAATTAAATCACATAACCCATTCAGAAAATGAAAAACAGAAAAAAGCAAAAACAATCAACAAATAATCAATAAAACATCAATATCCATAATAAGGTGAGTTTTTTTCTTATTATAAGGGTTATATTGTAAAGATATCATTTAAAATGATCTCATTTTAAAACTCTCCAGAAGAAAAAATATTATCAGACATACTGTGAAAATTCCCTTGCTCTTTTAAACATCATTTGGGAAATAATTTTGACCTCAAATCAATTAGCATTTTTTTGTTTTCATTTTGTCATTAAATGCACACTGAGTAATGTAGCCTATAGCTTTTGCCACACACATTTACTAAAGGGAAGCACAGTTTAAAACTGATTTTATATATTGTATATGAAAAAAAACATAGCAGCAATAAAATATTAGCATTTAAAATTACATTCTGTGAAAAGAGAAGCTTTAATTTTTTTAAATGATCTCATTTTAAAACTCAAGGTCTATTCTATTCAAAAACCGCTATGCAATATTTGTGTATAGCCTATAATCAAGAATGAGGTTGAATAAACATTCACCTTTTCGCGCAAAAAAATATAATATATTAAAAACAAACAAGAACAAATTATCCATAACATTCGCTATTGAAATATAATCCGTGTGTATTAAGCTACTCAACAGGTTTCCAGAGATTCCTTAAGTGACAACAGGTCCTGTCAGAGCAGATGCAGCCAAATGTCAGCGGCACAGAGAGATGTGTATTGAACCTCGCGATCTAACAGACGTCTGACGGGCTAATACACACACCCGTGTACATAAAACAGCCAGCTCTTTAAAGTTGAATAAGCATTGTGACACTACTGAGCTGTAAAAGCTGAGGGTCAGATAGCAGAAGAGCCTGATAATGAGCCCACATCTTCCCGAGATGCTTGACTTTTCTTTAAAAACGCGCGTGCTCCTATTATACAAATATATCAAGAAAAACACGAGGAAAATCATCCCGAAATAAAGCGCTGAAGAGAAACGAGAAATGCTGTTGCGTATTGCAAAATTAGGCTACTTGATAACAGTTATTTCAGTGCAATCGATTGAAAATATTAACCTGTTGAATTAATATCAGGTGCACGTTATATTTTAGGAAATACCGTAATAAAATAGGATTTGCGCTTTGTTAAACATCACTTCGGGAGTATTTGAATTAATAAATAATTAAAATTCCACATGTAAAATTCATTTAAGCTATTAATTCGGGTAAATAATTAAATAAAATATTTACTATTTAATAATTTTTGTACTTATTGTTAGGACATAATGTGTAAAGCTAACTTAAGTGCATTTTGCCTGGACGTAATATAGTAGCCTACTAATTATCAGGTGCAATTATTTTTGCATTATATCGAGTCCATATTGCCCTCAAAAAAAATCAAAAGCTATGCGACTCCTACAAGCCTAAATGTATACTGTTTATATCCCCCCCTAGCCTTTGAAATTTTCCTTACATTTTTGTTGTACTTGCATTGTATATTTGACTTATTTAATAATAATAATAATAATAATAATAATAATAATAATAATAATAAAAATGTACATTATTTTAGGGGGGAAATCTTTGCTCTGTTATTAAACATCACTTTGGAAATATTTGGGGGAAAATCCTCAGATGCGCTAATAAATTCACCTTCAACAATATATAGCCATATAAGAGCTAATGTTAGTAATTAGGTCACTTCGGGAGTATTTGAATTTATATATAATTACAATTCCTTAAACGGGCTAATCATTTAAGTTAATAATTCGGGTAAATAATTTAACTAAATATATATCATACTTTGTGTAGTAATTGTTAGGTTATGTGTTAAGCTAACTTGAGTGCATTTTGCATAGGATGTAATATAACAATGGGGTGCATGTTTACCTTAGGAAACACTAAACACAATTTCAGAAATCTTTAGGAAAAAATAAATAGGCCTAGATAAAATTCCACAGATCAACGAGCTACGCATTCAACAATATTTACCAAAATAATAGCTAATGTTAGTACTTTTTTAAGGATAATGAGTAATAACAAAAACAGTGCATGAATAATTATGTTAATTGTTAAACTAAACATTACTTTATTATAAACTAATGATGAGTGAATGCACACGCTAATGAATAATGGCTACCTTAATTGCTTGTTAATACATGATTGTTTGGTAATTAATGTAATAATTAATGTCATTCTTAATCCATCTGTGGATTTTTGTTTAAATTAATGTATGAATTAACACATTAGTTTGTGCTTATTTTAACCATCATGAACTCATGAGCTGTTAATTTATAATTGTCATGACTTTACTTAGAGGGGCTCATCATCATTAACCCATTCTTAACTATTAATTAACTACTTATGTAAATCTTTTTAGTGTGTTTACATTGACTAACAATAGAAAGTTTTCTGTCAGAACAGTTTAAACGCAGGAGTTCATGAGTAGTTATGAGTTAATGATGATGTGCCCCTCCAAGTAAAGTCATGATTTAATTATGCATTAACATCTCATGAGTTTATGTTAATTACATTTAGCTTAAACTTAAATATTAATAAATACATTGATTAAAAATCATGTAATAGCCCTAACAAGTTTACAAGGAAGCCTCATCCACACAAGGACTCTTGAGACTCATTAAAGTTAGTTCATGATTAGCGCTTGATTTACACATATCGTTCATTTATTATAATGTATTGCTTATATTAATACATCATTATTCATGTACTATTATTGTAAAGTGTTACCGGATCATGTAACAACTTTGCATAAGGTGCAAAGTAACAATCAGGTGCATGCTTACCTTGTGCAATCAAGCTCAGGACGAAGTCAGACTGATGGAGAGCCGGGTTGTCAACACTAGCAGGAGTAGTCAGCATCTTATTCCCGCTGAAGTCTCTGTATAACTGCATCATGTACAGCGGGTACCTTGGATAAAACTGGCTGGAGTAAGCACCGAAGAAAGCTGTGCGATGATCTTTAATAAACGCGCCATTTTTATCGATCCACACGCAATCAACAACGCGTAAAACAAATAACGCGAATGAAGCGCACGCTATGACCGGCTGCATTGCGAATGGAGAGGTTTGGATTCTTTCTCGCGTCCGACCGTGTCTCGTCTGAGGGTGTCCTGGTTTGGGCAGTGCTTTTAAAGTGTGCATCTGGCCCCTGATGACCCCTGCCATCCTGCAGTGTCCCGGGAATCCCTCTGATCCGTCAGGCACATCAGAGAGCAGAGCTGTCAAGTTCACTGCTGCTGGAAACAGTGCAGGCGTTTATTCGCGCGAGGCCAGACACTCTCACACATCCTTTGATTTCGGCCCACCCAAAAGTTCAACCATAGGAAAAGTCTGTAAAATAACAGTGTTTCTTTGTAAAACTCTTAGTGTGTAACTTTATTGAACGGATTTGATCATAATAATCTAAAAGTCTGTAAAATAACAGTGTTTCTTTGTAAAACTCTTATGTGTAACTTTATTGAACGGATTTGATCATAATAATCTAAAAGTCTGTATAAATAACAGTGTTTCTTTGTAAAACTCTTAGTGTGTAACTTTATTGAACGGATTTGATCATAATAATCTAAAAGTCTGTAAAATAACAGTGTTTCTTTGTAAAACTCTTATGTGTAACTTTATTGAACGGATTTGATCATAATAATCTAAAAGTCTGTAAAATAACAGTGTTTCTTTGTAAAACTCTTAGTGTGTAACTTTATTTAACGGATTTGGTCATAATAATCTAGGAAAAGTCTGTAAAATAAGTATTTTTTTTCTGTAAACATTTTAATATCTGTAGATTTATTATTTTTTGCATTTTATTTCAACAAAGAAATTTTACCGTAATTTTATGGGTTTTGTTGTCAGTCATTTGACCTTTACGATTTTTTTTACAGTGCACCTATAGTTCAGCCAGCATTTTTGTTTATGTAATAGACGTAACATTTATAATTGCGGTCATTTTTATGGCATATATTACGTTGCAATATGTGACCCTGGAGCACAAATAAGGGTCAATTTTAAAAAACAAATTTAGGTCAATTTTAGTTTTAAATATCATTTGAAAGCTGAATATGCTAACCCAACATATATTCACACAGAGTTAAAGTCAAATTTAATATCCCTCCTCTGAAATATTTGTTTTTTTTTTCAAATATTTCTCAAGTGATATTTAATAGAGCAAAGAAATTTTCGCAGTGTTCCCTATACTATTTTTTCTTCTGAGAGTCTTATTTGTTTTATATCGGCTGGAATAAAAGCAGTTTTTAAAATGTAAATATTATTTGAAAGCTGAAGTGTTATAAGTTGTTAAGCTGAAGTTAATAAGTGTTAACCTGACATATATACATATATAAGTCAAAATTATTAGCCCTCCTGTGAATATCTTTTTCACTGACTTTCCCAAATAGGCTGCAGGCCCCCTTTTCATTTTTTAATATTTCCTAAATGATATTTAACAGGGCAAGGAAATTTTCACAGTATGTCTGATAATATTATTTCCTCTGGAGAAAGTCTTATTTGTTTTATTTCAGCTAGACAAAAAGCAGTTTTTAATTTTTTAAACACCATTTTAAGGTCAATATTATTAGCCCCTTTAAGCTATTTTTTCCAATAGTCTACAGAACAAACCATCGTTATACTATAACTTGCCTATACCCTATAGTTACCCTAATTAACCTAGTTAAGCCTTTAAATGTCACTTTAAGCTGTATAGAAGTTTCTTGAAAAATATCTAGTCAAATATTATTTACTGTCATCATGGCAAAGAGAAAATAAATCAGTTATTAGAAATGAGTTATTATAGATAGATGGTTCATATATATTTTTAAACATTATTTACCCAAACACAGAAAGCGTGTTTTTTCCTATTATCTAATCGTTGGGGGAACAAAAATCCTTCTGAATTCTGGCAAAGCAGTGCAAACCTTTATGTATAATAATGTACAGTGAGTCAGGAAGTCAGTCTGTGGTTGGTGGTTCAATACTTCCTCATATGAGCGCAATATAATGTTGCAGCGTTTATCAACTGAACACAAACAGCACTGATTCCAGCATGCTGCAGTTCATCTTCCTCAACATCTTCCTCTTCACTTCTGCCCTGTCTTCAGGTAAGACATTAAATCTGAGGTTTAGCTATATATTTACAGTGACTATAATCGCCTGATTATATTCAGTTTTTAATCCTTGTACACCTGGCATATTGTTTTTGGTTCCTATCGCGCTTTTTTAAATGAAAACACGGCAAATTTGTGGTCGAAACAAAAATATATAAGCATGCAGTGTTTATCACAACGAGTTATTTGTATATGCTCTTTAAATTACGTACAAACCGCATCTTCCAGAGCCTCTTAGAACGAATCATGTGTTTATCGGAGGAGCAATGGCGGTTTGAAATTTGGTCGAAAGATTGGCTATATATATTACATTATGATATAAACACATTATAACAACTAAATAATGAAAAAGCCGCATCAATCTCACGAAGATGCTGTTATACATATATTATGACAGATGACGTAAACTAGCGGAACCCGGAACATAAACACCTGCGCTTTGACCAATGGGATGAGAGTTTACCTGCATGTGACAAATTTTTGCTCCGTTTATAAATATTACTCTGTGAAAGTGAACCGAATCCGCTTACTATTAAGGGCATTTCTATCATGGATCAGAAAAGGATATCAGGAAAATCCTAACTGCAGATTAAAGTGTTCTTACAATAGCAATGGTTGAATGGAAACAAACATTATTTTCATTATTCCCCCCACTCCCCAAAAATCTGGTCAGATATTAAATATATATATATATATATATATATATATATATATATATATATATATATATATATATATATATATATATATATATACAGGTCCATATCCAGCCTGGTGAAAGGGGTGGTTCTTTTTTCTCAAAAAGTAGACCTTTTTGCAGTTATTCACTTGATTTTCTATTTAAATATGAGGTTTAAATACTGCATTTAGTGGCATTTTAAGCACATTTTTTAAGCTGGATTAGCTTGAAAAAATATATATATTTCCTTAAATATTTAGAGTAAAAAATACTTATTTTTAAAATACAAATTTATTATACATATATCATTAGGAAAAAAGTTATGTTAAAAACTGTAGCCTATTGTCAATAACAAATAACAAACTGAGCAACACACTCAACTTTCCTCAGATTTCCTCAACTTTCATAATTTGCCCATTTGAATATTGAACAATTACTACTACTACTACTACTAATAATAATAATAATGTAGAGCTTGATGATTTTACATGATTAAGTACATTTGAAAATTCATGTATACCAGTAGCCTATTTAGTATTCAAATTTGGTCATTTTTTCTTTCAAGAATAGGAGAAAGAATAGAAGAAAAGTACAAGATTTAGCATAAGTTACGTTCCTTGTAAAAAAAGTTTTCTCTATTTAACAACAATAAAGTAGGTCTGCAGTTAAAGATGACTTCATTCACATCAGAGTTAGCCTTTTATGGGTTATTTTCACTATTTATGATGGCATACCAGTCAAAGTAGGACAAATGAGTTCAGTTGGAGTCCTGCCCCCCTATAATTCCTAATAAAGTAAAGCAAACTAATTTTAAAATATTAAATAGATATTATCCATGCAATGATTTCATTAGTAAGTTTAAGGAAGGTTTATCATCCTTGTATTTTATTATTTTATTTAAATTTTATTTTATTTTATTTTATTTTATTTTATTTTAGTAAAATGGAACCGTAAACCATTCTTTAACTATTTTTCAATTGCAGTTACACAAAACGATTTTGGTCCCAAGTTTTCTTTTGACTTTTTGAAGTGTATTATAGATTGATCAATATAACTGATAAAATGGTTTTATTTATGCATTGCAATATAATATCATCACAATGCAAGTACACTCTTCCAATGAACACCTCATATGATATTATTAAGAATTTTTTTTATTTAATTATAGTGCTTTAACAGTTTAATAATCAGGCATTGGAGTCAGAATGTGGAAACACATATGAATAAATAATAATAAATGTGAACAAGGTAAAGGGTAACAGAGGCTGTGATATCTGCTGCAGATCTATTTTCAGTCGTCAGACACCCACATGAAAATATACTAGTCATTTATAGTAAATACTTTAACCATACTGACACTGACACCTCCAAAGCTAAAGTGTTGCAAGATTTGGTTTTATTTATGAGCAATATTTAAATTGCATCACCAAAAATGATTGAGGTCATGTCTGTGTCACATGATAAGTCGATATATTGACTATGGTGACAGTGCAAATCCTCCTAAATAATACTTAATGCAGTAATAAAGTAATACAACTCAAATATTTTACACACCTGATACAGCTGCATTTTTTAATATGCACAGTAACTAGTTTTGTTTTTGCTATAGGATGGGCAAGAAGTGTAGACCCAGAACCGAGAATCACCAGTCATACCATGGTAAGTGACCAGTGACTAAAAATCCGAATTGATATCATAGGTCTCAAACTCAATTCCTGGAGGGCCGCAGCTCTGCACAGTTTTGCTCCAACCCTCACACAGCTGATCCAAATAATTAGGGTGTTCAAAAGAGTCATGAACACCTTGATTCGCTGGATCAGCTGTGTTTGGTCAGGATTGGAGCAAAACTGTGCAGAGCTGCTGCCCTCCAGGAATTGAGTTTGACTCCTATGACTTATATTTAAGTGTCACACACATTGTTTCCCCCACAGGCAAATGCTTGATACAAAATCCAACAAATAGGTTTGGAAAGTGTCTTTATCCCATATTCATCTTGTTAGGATACCATTGGTTCAGAACAGTGTTTCTCAACCACGTTCCTGGAGGACCACCAGCACTGCATGTTTAGGATGTCTCCTTAGTCTGTCACACCCATTACAGCTCTTTCAGTCTCTGCTAATGAGCTGATGAGCTGAATCAGGTGTGTTTGGTTAGGAAGACATGGAAAATCTGCAGAGCTCCATTGACGTGGTCGAGAAACGCTGGGTTAGACAAATGATCATGTCTTTTTGCATGTTGTGAAGTTTTAAAAACTTTAATCTGTCAGTGATTCTTAAAAAGAGGATCTGAGAATATTCGGTTCGTTTCACACTTCTTTCTTTCCAGTAAAGATTAATTTATGCTTCTTGTTCAGCTGTGAAAGAGGTTGTGAAAGTGTGTGGGTTTGTGCACAACAGAAATAAAGGTTCAAAAGCTGTCAACATTTTCAAAACGAAACAAAAAAAAAAAAATCCATAAATAAGCAGTTTTCTGCATTTTGTGATTCATGCTTTTATTTTTCCTAATTTATTTATGGTTTTGAATTGCATTACGTGATTTTGATCTTTCTTCTGACAACTTTTAACATTGAAAAGTTCCTAAAAGTGACTTTTTATTAAAATTTTTATAGTTTTAAGTGCTATATAGTCTGGGTTGGTGTTGTATATTATGCTATAAAAACCTTGTAATAAGCTGCCAGCACATTTTTCTGTTATTTTACAGACTTACTTCTCTGTATATTATTATTTCTCATATATTATATTATTTCAAACCTTTAAAATGCCAATAAAAGTCACTGTAGAGTTGAATTTTCCACATCAATGCCTTAGTCCTTCGTGGTATAGATTCAACAAGGTACAGGAAATATTCCTCAAAGATTTTGCTCCATATTTGCATGATAGCATCACGCAGTTGCTGCAGATTTGTCGGCTGCACATCCATGATGCAAATCACCCGTTCCACCACATCCCAAAGATGCTCTATTGGATTGAGATGTGGTGACTGTGGAGGCCATTTGAGTACAGTGAACTCATTGTCATGTTCAAGAAATCAGTCTGAGATGATTCACGCTTTACGACATGGCGCTTTATCCTTCTGGAAGTAGCCATCAGATGATGGGTACACTGTGGTCATAAAGGGATGGACATGGTCAGCAACAATACTCAGGTAGGCTGTGGCGTTGACACAATGCTCAATCTGTACTAATGGGCCCAAAGTGTGCCAAGAAAATCTCCCCCACACCATTACACCACCACCACCAGCCTGAATCGTTGATACAAGGCAGGATGGATCCATGCTTTCATGTTGTTGACACCAAATTCTGACCCGACCATCAGAATGTGGCAGCAGAAATGGAGACTCATCAGAGCAGGCAACGTTTCTCCAATCTTCTATTGTCCAGTTTTGGTGAGTCTGTGTGAATCGTAGCCTCAGTTTCCTGTTCTTAGCTGACAGGAGCGGCACCCGGTGTGGTCTTCTGCTGCTGTAGCCCATCCGCCTCAAGGTTGGACGTGTTGTGAGTTCAGAGATGCTCTTCTGAAGACCTCGATTGTAGCGAGTGCTTATTTGAGTTACTGTTGCCTTTTTATCAGCTGGAACCAGTCTGGCCATTCTCCTCTGACCTCTGGCATCAACAAGGCATTTGTGCCCACAGAACTGCCGCTCACTGGATATTTTCTTTTTTTCAGACCATTCTCTGTAAACCCTAGAGATGGTTGTGCGTGAAAATCCCAGTAGATCAGCAGTTTCTGAAATACTCAGGTCAGCCCGTCTGGCACCAACAACCATGCCACGTTCAAAGTCACTTAAATCACCTTTCTTCACCATTCTGATGCTCGAATTAAACTGCAGCAGATTGTGATTGGTGTGCGTAAATGTACATTTTAGGCACCAATATGTACCTTTAATATAATAGTTCACTCCAAAATGAAAACCCACTCACCATCTACCCACCCTTTTGCAGTTATGAACCTGTTTTTTTTTTTTTTTTATTGAACCAAAAATAAGATTGTTGGAAAACAGCAGTCATTGACATCCATAGGAAAAATAATATGCATGTCAATGGCTACCATTTTCCAACATTCTTCAAAATATCTTCTTTGGTGTTCAACAGAATAAAAAAGAAACTCATAAAGAGTTTGAACCCCATATGGGTAGGTAAATGATAAGTAAATATTAATTACCAGTTTGAACCGATTAGGTATAATCTTGCACCTTTTGAAAAGGTTCCACCTCAGTGTCAGCTTCATTCATTTTCCTTCGGCTTAGTACTTTATTTATCAGGGGTCGCCACAGCAGAATGAACCACCAACTATTCCAGCATATGTTTTACACAGCGGATGCCCTTCCAGCTGCAACCCAGTACTGGGAAACGGTGTCAGCTTTTATACCTTTATTTCTGAAAGTGTTATAAATATTATCACATAAACACTTTGCATTTTACTATTCTTCTTTATTCTCATATGTAAGTAACTCTATGAATAAAAGTGTCTACTTAATTAATAAATGTGAATAAATGCCCCAAAGCATATGTATTATTCATCAGATTAATTAATGAAATGTAACCTTGGTTGATGAGATACTGTGTCCTCCTTTAGATGAACGGCATGTGCAGCGATTGCAACAAGATTGTGCAGTTACTGACAGAAATGCTCTCCCATCCGGACTCACAGGTGATACTTGTTTACTAGTAAAAAACTTAAAGAACAGAATACAGAACGATACAGATACATAGAAAAAGGAGAAGAACAAAAGAGGGTCAGGGGTATACAGAAAACTAAAATATAAATAGGACAAACAAATACACAAATATATGTTACTGAGATGATATTAAGACTATATATATATATATATATATGTACATTTTTGGCCATATATTTGTATACACACACACACACACACACACACACACATATATATATATATATATATATATATATATATATATATATATATATATATATATATATATTGTAGCGAGGCAGAGGGAAAACAGCGGCACAACAGGATGAGTTTACAGACAAGTCCCCGGAGGGTGCTTTATTTACAAAGTGAATGTGCTGTAAAAAGGTGCTCTTCTTTAGGGTGAGGTGCTCTGGTGCTCCGGGAAGTAGGTGAAGGACGGTGAGTAGTCGGGTGCAGGATCGTCACAAGCTGGAGTCCGCTAAGGAGAGACAGAGAGACAAGCATTAGCACAGGGAGTCATAGAAGGAATGAAGCTCATCTTCTCCTGGCGTAGGTTGGGCTTATATGTCTCTCCGCTTGATGAGCTCCAGCTGTGTCCGATCCTGGCTTGATGAAGGTCCAGCTGGGTGAAATTTGCGACGAGGGCGACGTGGCATATAATTGCTCGTTACATTCCCCCCCCCTTAGCGTCGTCCTGGTCCTGGGTGTCCTGCGGAGAAAAGGTAGAGTATTGTGAGGGGGGGTAGAATGGTTTGACAGACCTGCCCATCCTGACCATAGCCTTGAGAGCCCGTCGGCGTTTCCGTGGGAGGCCCCTGCTCGATGTTGTACCGTGAAGTTATAATCCTGGAGCGACAGGAACCATCTGGTGACTCGAGCGTTGTTATTTTTCGCCGTTGACATCCATTGAAGTGGAGCGTGGTCGGTCACCAGGGTGAATCTTCTGCCAAGGAGATAATATCTGAGCTCCAGGATTGCCCACTTGATCGCCAGGGCCTCCTTCTCCACCGTGGCGTACCGGGTCTCTGCAGGGGTAAGCTTCCGACTCACGTACATGATGGGGTGTTCTTCATCGCCGTGGACCTGGGAGAGGACCGCGCCCAGGCCCGAGTCGGAAGCGTCTGTTTGTAGGATGAAGGGGCAGCCGAAGTCAGGTGCGTGCAGTACCGGAGAAGATGTTAGTGCCGTCTTCAGGGCTTGGAACGCGCCATCTGCTTCCCTGTTCCATTGTATCTTCTCTGGCTGCCCCTTTCTGGTCAGGTCTGTCAACGGGCTGGCTATGGATGAGAAATTGGGAATGAAACATCTATAGTAGCCCGCTAACCCCAGAAATGCACGTACCTGGGTCTTTGTGGTGGGTTGTGGAGTTTCTTGTAGTGCTCTGATCTTGTTCTGTTGTGGCTGTATGAGACCTCTACCGATGTGGAAACCGAGGTATTTTGCTTCTGCTAGACCCAGGTGGCATTTCTTGGGATTAGCTGTGAGCCCAGCCCTACGAAGATCAAGGAGCACCCTCCGCAACCGGGATAGATGTTCTTCCCATGACTCGGAGTGGACGATTAGGTCGTCGAGGTATGCTGCTGCATACGGCTGGTGGGGTCTCAGCAGGATGTCCATCATACGCTGGAATGTTGCTGGAGCCCCGTGGAGCCCGAAGGGAAGAACCCGGTATTGCCAGTGCCCACCGGGAGTGGAGAAGGCGGTTTTCTCCTTGGCGCTTTCACTTAGTGGTAGTTGCCAGTAGCCTTTGGTGAGGTCGATCGTGGATATGAATCGGGCTCCACCCAGCCGATCCAGCAGCTCGTCCACCCGAGGCATGGGGTACCCGTCGAATTTGGAAATTTCGTTCAGCTTCCTGAAGTCATTGCAGAAGCGGAGGGTGCCGTCGGGTTTGGGGACCATCACTATGGGGCTGGACCACGGGCTACGAGATGGTTCGATGATTCCCAATTTCCTCATCTTTTGGATCTCATCGTTGATAGCCAGCCGGCGAGCTTCTGGTACTCGATAAGGCCTCTGCCGGACGATGGTGCCAGGTGGGGTGATGATGTCGTGCTGGATGATGGTGGTTCGGCCCGGTTTCTCTGAGAACACATCCCTGAACTGACCGACCAAGGCTTGCAGCTCCGCCTTCTGATTCGGTGAGAGTTGCTCACCTATATGGACAACGGGAGAAGTTTCTTCTGAGAAGGCAACTAGATGACCTGGAGCTGCAACCCATTTCTTCATCAAATTGATGTGGTAAAGTTGTTCTTCTCTTCTTCGTCCCGGCTGACGGACTCGATAGTTTACCGGCCCTACCCTTTCTACCACTGTATATGGCCCCTTCCAAGAGGCCAAGAACTTCGAGGTGGTGGTAGGTATCAGGATCATTACTTTGTCCCCTGGTTGGAACTCTCTGGGTTGGGCGGGCCGGTTATATAATCGCTGTTGGGCGCGCTGGGCTTCGGTCAGATGTTGCTTGACAATGGGCATGACTTTCTCTATACGTCCTCTCATGTCCCGTACGTGCTCAATCACTGACCGTTGTGGGGCTGGCTCTTGCTCCCAAGCTTGACGAGCCACGTCCAATAGCCCTCGTGGTTGACGGCCGAACAGCAATTCAAAAGGTGTAAAACCTGTAGATCCTTGGGGAACTTCTCTGATCCCGAAAAGCACGTACGGGATCATGAGGTCCCAGTCGCGCCCATCCTCTGCCACCACCCTGCGGAGCATCTGCTTCAGCGTCTTGTTAAAGCGCTCCACCAAGCCATCAGTCTGCGGATGATAAACAGAGGTTTTTATTTGTTTTACCTTTAGGAGGCGGCAGAGGTCTGCCATCAACCGGGACATGAATGGGGTGCCCTGGTCGGTCAGTATCTCTGCTGGTATTCCTACTCGGCTGCACAATAAAAACAGCTCTTTAGCGATTGCCGATGACGTGGCTTTTCTCAGAGGTATCGCTTCTGGATATCTGGTGGCGTAGTCGAGGATGACAAGGATGTGTTCATGTCCCCGGGCCGACTTCGGCAAAGGCCCTATCAAGTCCATGCCAATGCGGTTGAAGGGCACCTCAATGATGGGTAATGGTATCAGAGGGCTGGGGGGTGGTCGTTGGGGAGACGTTCTTTGGCAGATGTCACATGCCTGACAATACCTCTTGACTTCTCCATCCAACCCGGGCCAGTGGAAACGATCTCTAATCCTTTTGATCGTGTTGGCTGCTCCTAGATGTCCTGCCATCGGGTGAGTATGTGCCAGTTCCAGAACCGTCTCCCTTTTGGTCCTCGGGACGACCAATAGCGTCTTTGTTTCCCCCCGCCTCTCTGCGACACAGTACAGCAGACCATTTTGTACAATAAAATGTGGTAGGGGGTGAGGGCTGGGAAACCGTTCGTTACCGTCCATGATCCGGACTTGTGGCCAGCAGTGCTTCAACGTTTCGTCTTCCCGCTGTGCTCTCCCGAAATCGCCACCTGCGGTAATCTGTTGGAAAAGATCATAGTACAGGTTAGCCGATGATGACTCACCCCCTCTGTCGCTCTCGGTGGCCATCAGCGCTGGTTGGCGGTCCCGTTGAGCCCGTCCCTTGCTGTTCTTCTTTGCCCGAGCCGATCGAGCCTGATGGTGGGTGAGGAGATCATCGAACCCTGGCCAGTCTCTGCCCAGAAGAAGGGGTACAGGAAGATCTGGAACCACTCCTACTTCGATGCGCCAGCTTCCCGACTTAGTCGCTATAGTGACTCTTTGGGCGGGTACGTGGCGGGTATCACCGTGTATGCATGTAATCGGGATTCGACCTTTCCCTTCTTGATGGTATTTTAACGTGTTTGGGTGGACCAGTGTTATTGCACTTCCTGTATCCAGTGTGGCCGTCTGCGTTTTCCCGTCTAAGCATACTTTTCGGGTGGGAGCTTTGGGAGGGACGTTGCGATGTACCACGCACCCTGCCGTCCAGGCCGGGGCCGGGAGTGCTGTTGGCTCTGTGGGCATCGGTTCGTCGACTGGGCTGGGGACCGCCGGTCTGCTGCCTGGTCGTGTTGTGCCCTCCACCGGTCGCCATGGCGCATTTACCCTCCGGGGTGGCAGAGCCGCTCTCTCCCCAGTCTCCCGGGCCACGTGAGCTTCTGCCAGCTCCACCGCCTCCACCAAAGCGGCCAGCGAGTCGGGGTTCCTCATGCTGGTAAGTGTGCGGAGCCGTCTGGGTAGCGCCCTCATCATCTTTTCAATGACCACCTTCTCAGCGACCTGGACTGCGGTTGGATCTCCTCCTAACAACCATAATCTTCCCAATCTTGATAAGTTGGCTGCTTGGGTCCGAACCGGCTGTTTGTCATCATAGGACCACTGAGAAAATTGTTGTGCTGCGCTTATATTGGAGAGTCCCATTCTGGCGAGTATCTCCTTTTTTAATGCTTTATAGTCGTCATTTTTCGGTGTCTCTAATGCGAAATAAGCTCTTTGAGCTTCTCCAGTCAGGAATGGTGCTAACATCCTCGCCCAACTTTCCTTCGGCCAACTCTCTCTTTCCGCAATTACCTCAAAGGTGTGCAGGTAAGCATCAATATCATCCAGGTCGCTGAGTTTTGTGATAAATCTATGGGCGCTCACCTCAGAGAACTGGCTGGAACCGGCCGCTTGGCGGAGCTGTTGTTCCATATGGTCTTGTCTGGCGGTGAGTTGTTCAGTTATCACTTGTTGTCTTCTTGAGATTTCCGCTAGATGGCGTACTACCTCTTCGATCGACATGACTCAGGAGGGGATGACAGCCGAGTAAGAGAGCGTGAGTGAGAGAGAGAGCGGATGCCTGTCTGTAAACAGAAGAAAAACAGAGAAAATTCAGTGGTTACTTCTTCTTACTGGTAAGTGCTGAATTTTTTTTCCCTCTGAAAAAGCGCGCATTCTCCACCAGTTGTAGCGAGGCAGAGGGAAAACAGCGGCACAACAGGATGAGTTTACAGACAAGTCCCCGGAGGGTGCTTTATTTACAAAGTGAATGTGCTGTAAAAAGGTGCTCTTCTTTAGGGTGAGGTGCTCTGGTGCTCCGGGAAGTAGGTGAAGGACGGTGAGTAGTCGGGTGCAGGATCGTCACAAGCTGGAGTCCGCTAAGGAGAGACAGAGAGACAAGCATTAGCACAGGGAGTCATAGAAGGAATGAAGCTCATCTTCTCCTGGCGTAGGTTGGGCTTATATGTCTCTCCGCTTGATGAGCTCCAGCTGTGTCCGATCCTGGCTTGATGAAGGTCCAGCTGGGTGAAATTTGCGACCAGGGCGACGTGGCATATAATTGCTCGTTACAATATATATATATACATACACACACACACACACACACACATACACATATATATATATATATATATATATATATATATATATATATATATATATATATATATATATATATATATATATATATATATATGAACATATGTATAGTTAAATGGCTTTATTACATTTCTCCACTAATCAGCTGGTGTGTGGTCTGGCACAATATGGCTGGGTCACATTATCCAGGTGGATGCTGCACACTGGTGGTGGATGAGGAGATTTCCGCCAGTGTGTAAAGTGCTTTGAGTGTCCAGAAAAGCGCTATAAAAATTCAAGGAATTATTATTATCACATGCATAAGTACACTAAAATGGGTAAGGACATTGTGAAGTTGCAGAATCTTGAAGTTACAAGTGAAAGAACAGTTTTAATGGCGTTTCTATAAGTACTTTGCTTAATGTCGTTTGTTCTAATGTTCGGAGTATGGCAGGAAAGAAGGGTTTTTAGTTGGTAAATGTGCAAAATGTTCCCCAGTAACAAATTTGAGATTGTCATAAATAGTGTATGCGGCGCCCTCTAGTGAAAAACAATATTATAGGAAATACAGAGCTAGTCCAGGGTACATATTTGTGAGTTCTCAAAAATGTAGCCCTGGGCACATATTTCCAATAAGCCTGGGTCAGTTGCTAATGATCTGCAGTTTGCATATTGACCGTATCTATAATTTTCTACTCCACAGCATCTGATTGAAAAAGCGGTGGACAGGTTTTGTGATGAACACCCCGTCATCCCCTTGTGTATGGATGGAGCAAAGACATACGTTCATTTAATCATCAGACATTTCAGTGCATTTACAGTGAGTACTCATTAAGTTAACAACTCTAGCTGCCACAACAATTTTCCTATCTACAACACTTAACCAATGGGAAATATCATTTTACATGAATAATTAGATATACAGTTGACGTCAGAATTATTAGCACTCCAGTATAGTTTACCTCAACTTCTGTAGATTTTTACCAGCACGTTTCTAAACATAATAGTTTTAATAACTCATTTCTAATAACTGATTTATTTTATCTTTGCCATGATGACAGTAAACAATATTGGACTAGATATTTTTTCAAAATACCAATATTCAGCTTAAAGTGACATTTAAAGGCTTAACTAGGTTAAGGTTAAAATTAGGTTAATTAGGCAAGTCATTGTATAACAGTGATTTGGAGACAATCCAAATAAATATTGCTCAAGGGAGCTAATAATATTGACCTCAAAATGGGTTTAAAAAATTAGAACTGCTTTCATTCTAGCCAAAATAAAACAAGACTTTCTCCAGAAGAAAAAAATATTATAGGAAATACTGTGAAAAACTCCTTGCTTTGTTAAACATCATTAGGGAAATATTTATTTAGGAAAAACCTTCACAGAATGGCTAATAATTCTGACTTCAATACTAAAATATCCAGCTGAAAGCAAAATATTAGCCCTCCTGTGAAATTTCATTCTTGACCTTAATATCAAGGACTTTCTCCGGGAAAAAAAAGTATAATCACTAGGGAAATATTTGAAAAACAATTTAACTTTCACTGGTTAATAATTTAGTCATAACTTATAGTTGTTTTTATCCTTATCACAGAAAGAAAATGGAGACGTTTGTTCAATGCTGGGACTGTGTGCCGTCCAGCCTGAGAGAAAATCAGCATCAGAGCTTGACTTCAGCCTAAACGAACAGGGTTTGATCTACACAAAACCCTCAAGAGGAACTGGTCCGGAGGTATGCTTTAGACAGCCCATATTTAAGGCTCAATTCTGGTATTATTGGTTTCAGTTCTCACAACCAGGAAAGTCCTTCTTCCGCAAAAACTTTAGCTTGAGATTAGTTATGAAGGACAAGAAACTAGTAAAGTTTTTAGATGTGTTGAAGCCTAGTATTAAAGTGGATCTAATATGCAAAACTCACTTTTTTAAGGGATTTAAACTGTTTAAATATAGCAGCAGTGTGTGGATATAACCAAGCTCTCATGGTCAAAATTAATTAATAATTTTTTTTATAATGACACTTGATATAAACAGTCTGCAGAAACACTTTGATTGACATTCTCTCTTTGCTCGTGTTAAGCTGGATTTATATCACGCACCTCGCAAAATGGACGAGGCTTTTATAAACAACAGGGGCGGGGTCAAAAGAAACCCACTGTAAAATTAGATGTATAAACAGAGAAGTAGGAAGTTTCCGGAATTATGTCATATCATTAATATCATTCAATATTTTTAAACTAATTAATGATCATAAAGATTTTTATAACTATAAAAGATTTTTTTTATTAAAATTTGATGCATCACTTGCTTTTGTTCATATCTCGGACAGTTCTACCTATTAAAGTTTATTAAAAATAATAATGATGAGAACATGGGTCGCTCAACAAATATATTTTTATTATGACAGGAATAAAAGCAAATAAAAGTACACTTACTAAAAAATACAGTTTTTTTTTTTTTTTTTTTTTAGATTTAGCCCGCTCCACAGTTCACACGTTGCTGTCTGGCTAGTTTCCTTTTCATACTTTTGCTAAAAATTCAATAATGGTCCAACATTCCTGACCACTATCACCAATAAAACCTAGAGAAACAGGCCATCAGTATATTGTAAACCGATAGGTTCAAGTATTCCTTCCCAGTTATCAAAGAAATAATTCTGTGACTTCATTTTAGTTTTGTAACTATTAAATCGTTTTCAATTCAAAACTGTAACATATACATCAGTTTAAACCTATGACTGGTGGAAAAATATATTTCTGTAATTGTGTACATGGGTCTTTACTTTTGCCGTGACCTCTTTTGTTTTTACCAAACTTATCCTTCAGGTTTTTCCAAACCTTTTAACAAAAATTTTCTCTTTTCCCATGGTTGTTGCCATTTCTAGCCAAGAATGATTGATCATCAGGTTGTCTCTATGATCATGCATCACAAAGATGTTTGTACAGTCCTACTGTTTCAGATAAAATCCCTTTAGAGTGTTTCACATTCAACTCAAATCCAATGAGCGTTGCGCGAATTGTTCGCTCGAGTCTCCCAAAAAAAACATGCGCACCGTCAGCCGAAATCTTGTCGCACGCACCCAAAGCAAACATCTGCAAACTAATAAGCGGACACATCGAGTATAAACCAAGCTCTCCCTCAGGAAGCCAATACGGAAGTAACTAAAACTGCAATTCATCCGAAATTCCGCTAGTCCTGGCCGCTCCTGGCTCCAAAACAGAGCCAATTTCAATTGAGCCCACTGTTAGAATGAACAACTTTACAGCAGAAAAAAAGGTGTTTACAGCCTGGTACAAAAAAAGATTTTGGTTAATACAGCTAATATTACCCTTCATGACAACTGTGAGGGGGGTGAATATTTTTATAACTCATCCGTTTCCTTTATATTAAGTTATATTAAGTTTGCATAATTAAGGGAGTGGCCACTTGAGTGACAGCTAGGTCTCGTTGGTCGCCTTCACGTCACCTCAGCTGAATCCTGCAGATTAGCCACTGAACTCGGCATATTTATCATATTTCTGTGTTGTTTTATGTGGCTTTACACAGTCAGCTGTCTTTTGGACTTGTTTCCTACAATTATTAGATGGCATGGCATGCTGAGTGCACTTAATTGTGCTCACAAACCATTCACGTGGCCTCCGTTTCCCATGTGAGTAAAGTTATATACTTATATACCATCTCTATACATGTATTTGTTTTATTTAAGATCATTTATGTTTATATTTAGAGCTGTAATGCACTCCAGAATCTGACGGATTGATTAGCTGTAGGCTCTAGAACAGTCATCTGAAGCGTTGTCATACAGTGTTATGCTGGATTTCATCAATAGTCTTAACTAACACAGACAATATCTGAAGAGTTTGGAAGTAATTCGCGTTTTCCTCCTGTTAAAAAATGTCATAAGAACAATGTTTAGTGGCTCAATGTGTTACAGCAGTGTTTTTAAAAGACTAAACACTTTATTGATATAGTGTACAACCAAGCACAAGTGGTCAGAATACAAACGAGTCGCAGGTGATAAAGTATTAAGCGTTCTCCCAAAGTAAAGTGTGTCTGAGCCAGCTCCAAGCAAAATGCCAGCAGGTGTCTGTAGCTCCGCTCACTCTCCACCTCTTTGCCCTTGTTTGGTATCTCGCCGTGGGTGTGATGACGCGTGACCAAAATGGCGACGGTTGGCCGCGCCTACTTGTGGCTTCTTTTGCGCTCTTCAGAAACCTATGGGTGGCGTCACGGATACTACGTCCATATATTTTACAGTCTATGGTATAAACCAGGCTTTATGAGAGGGAGAAAGCCCCGCCTATTAGTGACCATCTTTCTCTCATTAGCATAAACAGCACTGAGTGAAAAGCAGCCGTCCGCTATTACAGTTTTGAATCTGCACAGAAATAGCAGAAAAATCTCCATCTAAATCCAAGGTATTATAAACAGATATAACAGGATTATAAAATAGTTCTGACTCAACCTAAATAGCTGATAAATACTCAAGGATTCAATAATACAAAGATTGAGACCTTGCTAGTCATAAATCCTCATTGGAGAAACCTCTGTTCTCGTGTCTATTTCATGAATAACCCAATATGTATCATGTGCTATACTTTTACTCTGTCTCTTTTAGGTTCGTATCAATCCCATCTGTAATTTCTGCCTCCTCTTCATCAAGACAGTAGAGAGCTTGTTGCCAAAAGAGAAAACTGAAGTAAGTCGTTTAATCATTTAACATATAAACTCATGTTCCTGTGTTATTCGTCCTGTTTGGGTAACACCTGAGTTTAAGTACCAATTCTCAATGTTAACCAGCAGCTTACTACCTGCCTATTATTAAGATATTGGCTGTTTATTAGTACTTATAAAGCACATACCCTGCATGATCTTACTCTAAATCATAATCCAAACCAAGTATTTACAACTAATAACACGGTTCACTTTGGAAAGACAAATAAACCTGCACAACACAAATTTATTAAGTTTACCTATTCATTTTTAGAAATTAGAGTGGATTGAACATAAAACGAATGATATCATATTTTTAACTTTAGTTGATGTGTAATGAAGTTGTGGGAACAAAAACAACATCTCTGAATGTAAAATGCTCAACATTTAATACAAAGGAAGACATTGGCTTTTACAGAGTTAGCTTAGCAAAGCCTACAGCGAAAGTTTTGGGACTACAAAAAATGCATCCGGGTTAATGATTTCATAAACCCTTCAGGTTACGAGCATACAACCTGCACTGTGAAAGGGTGTGGCCAGATATGCAGTAATGTTATAGCAGAGGCGTGGAGCCGATCTGCGAATCACAGCACATTATGTTAGCTGACCAATCAGAGCCTCTTGAGAGCGGGCTTTCGGACGAACTAGGAAATATGATAGTCGGTTTCATGTTAGCTGTATATAATTAAAGTAAGATATATGAAAGAATAATGCAATTTTTCACAAATGAAGCGTGAGCACATGTTGCTTTGCATCTTATAAACACAACCAAGCCTTGAAAATACATAAGTTGTCCCAGAAAAAAACTTAATTGTTTTGTTTCAAGTCATTTTGGTAACATTTTAAAATAATGGTCCTTTAGTTAATGTTAGTTACTAACATGAACAACCAATACATTTATTCAGTATTTATTCATCTTTGTTAACATGAGCTAGTGTTATTTAAGTTAAAGAATGTTAATGCAGTATTAATATCCAAAGTTGGGCTTGTTAACATTTATAATGCACTGTGATTATGATTTATTAAGGCTGTACAAGATTAATAATACTTAGATTGTGTTTGAAATCGCATACTTCCATACTATATAGTACGCTAAAATCAGTATGCCAGTCGAGTATTGCTCGAATTTAAAGCATTCGAAAATCAGCATGCGAGAATTACCCGGAAGATATACTACTTCCGGCGGGATTCTGAAGTGCGTATCGCATGGACGCTACGCTATCCCATGTTGCCCCGCAAGAGCATTCATGAATGGGAGTGAAGCAACGCAACTGACGCACGTAGGTCACTTCATCATGACAAAATAGCGGATGTACTATGTCCCAAGTTCCATTCATACTGCTCACATTCATACTGTATAGAACGTACTTCTAACAGCCCGAGTAGTACGTTAAAATTGAAATGCAGCACCTACTGAGTAGTAGGCGATTTCGAACACAGCCTTAGTTAAAGCTTCCGTGAAGTGCATTGAAAGGTGCATTTTTTTCGATGTTTGACATAACCTCAACCGAAAAACGAATAAAGGGTGGGACATAATGTAGCTCCTCCCCTTTAAAAAAAACAGCCAATAGTGTTTTGTTTTATCACCACTCTGTCAGAGTCGAAAAGCAAACAAGAAGTGCCTTGAAGGGGGCGGGGCATGTCTGACACTAGAGAGAATATGATTGGTTATGTGTTGGATGTGATGAGAAACTGCAGTACGGGCTGATCCATTTAGGCGGAAGTGACAAACTACAAGCTTTACATGTTTATAACAGTTTTATATCTTCTAAACGCCAATTTTGTCACTGTTTTGAAGCACACTAGCTAATAGATATCTTAAAAACAAACAATACTGACTTCATTTTAAATTTCATGGGACCTTTAATGTTAGTTAATACATTAACAAATGGATCATTATTCTAAAGCAGGGGTCTCAAACTCGCGGCCCGCGGGCCATTTGCGGCCCTCAGTGCAATATTTTGTGGCCCGCGCCGACCGCTGTACTCTGACAGAATCAGCGGAGTGGGGAGAGAGAGCGCTCCCCGCTCCGCTGATTCTATCCGTACACAGCGCGCTTGTCACTCAATGCGCGTTGTCGCGCGCGTTTTGATCAGCTGTGTTGTCGCGCGCGTACTCAAGAGCGGTGTTATCGCGCGCCTACTGAAGGGCGGGACCGAGGGTGTGTCGCGTCGCGGGGGCACTTTTGATCATTTTGGAAGGGCACTTTCTATGCAAGACTAAAAAGGGCATGTGCTCTGCACAGGTTGAGCCCTATGTGTGCACGTGCCTGCCCTGCATCTTATATATATTGATATTGTTACGAGTAGTGTAGTGTAGGCTTGTGTGTGGTTTCTCTCTTGCGCTCTCGCGCTCTTTCTTTCTCTTTCTCTCGCTCTCTCTCTCTCTCTTTCTCACTCTAAGTATTCGCAGGTGCAGCGGATTACTTTGGGACGGACCATGATTGGCGGTGGCTATAAAAACCTGCAGAGAGCATGGATTCGATGGCTCCCCGCTCTCTCTCGATCTTCCCCGCTTGTACTCAGTGGAGAACGTGATTCCATGAGTGTTTGAATGTATATTGAGATGCCGTTGTGTTAAATTTTTAACCGGCGATTGAAACCCGGTTTGTCTCCCTGTCGGGCTTGGAGCATGTAGGGAGGTTTGGTGCCTTATTTGTTATTTTCGTTTTCTCCTGTGTTTGTTAGTAGGGAGGTAAGTTTTCTGTATTTTATTTTATTTGTTTTCTAGGGAAGTTTAATCTAATTTAGTTAGCTTGGTTTATTGTCATTTATTTTGGCTGAACCCCTCCTGATGTTATTTTTGCTCCTTATTTCTGTAAATAAATCATATTTTCTTGTTAATTCTTAGTGGTTGTGTTTTTGGTATATTTTGGGGAGAGAGAGCGCGGGGGCACCAGGGATTATATTTTTAATCCCTGTTATTTTGTTACGTTTTTGGTTACATCTCTTTTTGATTAAGGATTTTTAATTTAATTCGTAACAATTGGGGGCTCGTCTATTTGGTTTTTGTTTGTATAAATGACAATTGAGGCCCTGTTTGCTTTTTGAGCATATACAATTGTTGTTTATCTAGTCTTTTTGGATGTTTGTTATTGGCACTCTCAAATATGCTGTAGTTGAAGATTCAGTTAACCCTGTTTATTTGATATTTGAAAGGGAATTTCAGATGTATGTCTTGATTCATTATGGAGTTAGATATTGATGAATTCATTTCAAATCCGAGTGTGCAGCAGTTTAATAAGTTCCGTAAAAGAGATCTATTGCAGATTGCAGATGTTTTGAATATTTCTGTAGTAAGTACTGCTTCTAAAGAAGTAATTAAATCTGCTGTATTTATTGAATTGGTTAAACAAGGGTTTTTGTGTGAAGAGAGTGAACAAAAAACTGAGATGGAGAAGAGCGCTGTTGAGGCGTCTGTTTCGGCTGATTCCGTTACAGTTGAATCTGATCTTGTATTGCAAATACAACTTAAAGAATTAGAGTTACAAATTAAACGACAAGAACACGAAAATCATGTTTTGCAAATTCGTAAACTTGAGATGACTCAAAAGGAAGCTAGTTCACTTATTGATCCACCTGCTGTATCTTCTGCATTGACTCAGCCTAGAGATGAACGTACATCAGCTGTTCTGTTTGATCCAAGTAAGCATATCAAGCTTGTCCCTCCTTTTAGAGAGTCAGAGGTTGACGCATATTTTATTGCGTTTGAGCGAATCGCTGCAAAGCTGAAGTGGCCTAAGGATATGTGGGCGTTAATGCTGCAATGCAGTTTAGTAGGTAAGGCGCAGGAGGTTTGTTCTTCTTTGCCTATTGAAGAATCTCTAAATTATGACTCTGTGAAAGCTGCAGTGCTGCGGGTTTATGAACTTGTCCCCGAAGCGTATAGACAAAAGTTTCGCAATTACACTAAATCTGTCAAGCAGACGTTTGTTAGTTTTGCTCGCGACAAGAAAGTTTTGCTGGAGAAGTGGTGCGCAGCATCTAAAACGACTACTTTTGAGCAGTTACAAGAATTAATTCTGCTAGAAGATTTTAAGAGCTGTTTGCCTGACAATTTAGTTGTTTATCTTAATGAACAAAAAGTGAATTCTATTTCAGCTGCAGCAGTGTTGGCAGACGAATACACGCTCACTCATAAGACTGCTTTTTCCTCTGCTTCTAGCCAAAGTTACGGTGCGCCAGTGCTTGTGAACACTGAAAAGACTTTCACGCACTCAAAATTTGGTGCGCGCTCCATCGAGCCGCGTAAAGAGCAGGGTAAGAATATCGAAAATAGAAGGGTTTGTTTTTATTGTTTAGACCCGAATCATTTGATTGCTGACTGTAAATTATGGAAGAAGAAAAACACAAAATCTAAAAGTGTAGCTAATGTGGTTCTTGAGACGGTGTCTAACAGTCATGATCAAAGCTGTTCGGATGCTTCTGTTTTCTCTCCATTTGTGTTCAAAGGCACTGCATCAGTTAACCCTGATTCTGCTAAGAAAACCATTAACATCTTGCGAGACACAGGTGCTGCTCAATCTTTTATTCTTGAAAATGTGCTACCTTTTTCAAGTGAAACCTACTCTGGGACTGATGTGCTGGTTCGTGGCATAGAGCTGGGCTGTGTAAAAGTTCCTCTTCATACTGTGTGTTTGACATCTGATTTGGTTTCAGGTCCAGTTCAGTTGGGAGTGCGTGCAAAACTGCCAGTAGAAGGGGTCAGTTTAATTTTGGGGAATGACCTGGCCGGTGGTAAGGTTTTTACTCATCCAGTGGTGGCCGCACGTCCTGTTTGTGAGGTAGAACTTGGTACTAAATTTCCTTCAATATTCTCTGCGTGCGCAGTTACTCGTGCACAGGCGCGAAACAGTGGTAGTGATATTGATTTATCTGACACATTTATGTCTTTTCCAGACAATCCAACGGAGTTTAAATTATCTGTTCAACCCAGTGTGTTTAAAACGGATGATGTTACTGGTCACGAGGCTTTGTCTATGGGAAGAGAACAACTTGGTAAAGCTCAAAGGTCGGATCCTTCTCTTGTGCGATGTGTTGAAGCTGCCGAGGGCAAAGTAGAGAGCGACACAGATGACGGTGTGCAATACTTCTGGGACAGAGGCGTACTAATGCGTAAGTGGCTGTCACAAAAAGCTAAAGAAGTGGGTTTTAGTCCAGATTATCAAATAGTGTTACCGTCTGAGTATCGAACAGCAGTTCTTAAACTTGCTCATGATCACATTCTATCTGGTCATTTGGGCATTAATAAAACGTTTACACGAGTGGCTAAGTATTTTTATTGGCCTGGTTTACGCTCTGCTGTGTCAGATTTTTGTCGTGCGTGTCACGTTTGTCAAATTGCTGGGAAACCCAATCAGAACATTCCTCCAGCTCCTTTGCAGCCTATTCCAGTGATGGGAGAGCCTTTTGAGCGCCTCATTTTAGACTGCGTCGGCCCTTTACCAAAATCAAAAAGTGGTTATCAGTATATTTTGACGTTAATGTGCGCTGCAACGCGCTACCCCGAGGCAATACCGTTACGAAATCTTAAAGCGAAAACTATCGTTAAAGAGCTGATAAAGTTTTGCTCCACTTTTGGTTTACCTCGTGTTATTCAGACAGACCAGGGAACAAATTTTAAATCTAAATTGTTCGAACAAGTATTGCAAGGAATTTCAGTAAGTCATGTAGTGTCAAGTGCATACCACCCACAGTCGCAGGGCGCTCTCGAGCGATTTCATCAAACGCTCAAATCAATGATGCGTGCTCATTGTGTTGAGTCCAACTCAGACTGGGCTGAAGATCTTCCTTTACTGATGTTTGCTATCAGAGAGACCGTTCAAGAATCATTGGGTTATAGCCCTGCTGAGCTTGTTTTTGCTCATGGTTTACGCGGACCCTTAAAATTATTAAGCGAACAATTAGTTGCTGACAATAAACAAATGGTACCTGTATCTGAATATGTGAATTCAATTAGGGAACGTCTTCGTAATGCTTGTGAAAAAGCAAGGATTAATTTAGCTGAGGCTCAGGCTGAAATGAAAGTGCGTTATGATCGCAAAAGTGTGTCTCGTTCATTCCAGCCGGGTGATTCAGTTTTGGTGTTGCTGGCTACGCCAGGCTCGGCTTTACAGTCAAAGTTTTCAGGTCCATATATGGTGACCAAGAAGTTGTCTGACACTAACTATTTAGTTTGCACTCCTGACCGGCGAAAAAAATCTCGTATGGTCCATGTCAATATGCTTAAGGCTTATGTGAAAAGTGATGCTCATCTACCTGCTGTCAAACCAAGTTTAGTTGCGTCCTCTGTAGCTGATGAGATTGAACAGGATTTCTCTGTACCCTGCGGTCGTTTGACAAATTCTGTTATATTAAATGACTTGGATTCGCATTTAAGTTATTTATCTTCAGATCAAAAAAGCGATATTGTTGAGTTACTTGAAAATCATCGCTCTCTCTTTAGTGACATTCCTTCCCAAACCACTGTGCTTACACATGATATAGATGTTGGTGATGCACGACCGGTAAAACAACATCCTTATCGTCTTAATCCGAAAAAACGTGACTTGATGAAAGCTGAGGTTGAGTATTTGCGGCAAAATCATTTTGCGAGTCCCAGTTTGAGTGCATGGAGTTCACCTTGTCTATTAGTCCCCAAGTCTGACTTGTCGGTTCGTTTCTGCACTGACTATCGGAAAGTCAATGCGGTTACGAAGCCCGATTCATTCCCATTGCCACGTATGGAAGATTGCATAGATCGAGTCGGTCCTGCCAGGTTTGTGACAAAATTAGATCTTCTTAAAGGGTATTGGCAAATTCCACTTACGTCACGAGCCTCGGAAATTTCAGCTTTTGTGACCCCTGACGATTTTATGCAATACTCCGTAATGGCTTTCGGGATGCGCAACGCACCGTCAACCTTTCAGCGATTAATGCGCATCGTATTAAGTGGTGTTGAGAAATGCGAAGCTTATCTCGACGATATTGTGATCTATTCTTCTAGCTGGGAGGAGCATTTGGTTTCTTTACGTGAAGTGTTTGCACGTCTGGTTAATGCCTCTCTAACTTTAAATCTAGCTAAATGTGAATTCGCCAAGGCCACCGTAGTGTACCTAGGAAAAAAGGTAGGTCAGGGACATGTGTGTCCAGTTGATGCAAAAATTGCGTCTATTGTGGAATTCCCAGTGCCAGGGAATAAAAGAGAGTTGCGTAGATTTTTGGGTATGTCAGGATACTACAGAGGATTCTGCCGTAACTTTGCTAGTGTTGTGTCTCCACTAACTGATCTTCTGAGCACCGAAAGAGTTTTTGTGTGGTCTGATGCATGTGATCAGGCTTTTCGAGCAGCAAAAGATTTGCTGTGTAACGCTCCTATCCTTTCAGCACCGGACTTTGAGCGTCCCTTTAAATTGGAAGTGGATGCTTCTGCTACTGGGGCTGGAGCTGTTCTAATTCAGGAAAGTGAGATGGGTATTGATCATCCAGTGTGCTATTTCTCAAAAAAATTTACAGCATGTCAACGCAGATATAGTACGATCGAGAAGGAGGCTTTAGCACTACTTTTAGCGTTGCAACATTTTGAGATTTATTTGGGTGGAAGTTCGTTCCCAATTTGTGTGTACACTGATCATAATCCTCTTGTTTTTTTGGATAGGATGCGCAATTCAAATCAGCGATTAATGCGATGGTCTTTGGAAGTCCAGGAATTTAATTTGGATATACGGCATAAGAAAGGTTCGCAAAATGTGGTTGCGGATGCGCTGTCCAGAGTTCATGGTGCTGAAGTTGAGGTTTAAGTTAGTTGGGTAGATACAAACTGCTTGTTTGCATCTTTTTGGTGGGGAGGTGTTACGAGTAGTGTAGTGTAGGCTTGTGTGTGGTTTCTCTCTTGCGCTCTCGCGCTCTTTCTTTCTCTTTCTCTCGCTCTCTCTCTCTCTCTTTCTCACTCTAAGTATTCGCAGGTGCAGCGGATTACTTTGGGACGGACCATGATTGGCGGTGGCTATAAAAACCTGCAGAGAGCATGGATTCGATGGCTCCCCGCTCTCTCTCGATCTTCCCCGCTTGTACTCAGTGGAGAACGTGATTCCATGAGTGTTTGAATGTATATTGAGATGCCGTTGTGTTAAATTTTTAACCGGCGATTGAAACCCGGTTTGTCTCCCTGTCGGGCTTGGAGCATGTAGGGAGGTTTGGTGCCTTATTTGTTATTTTCGTTTTCTCCTGTGTTTGTTAGTAGGGAGGTAAGTTTTCTGTATTTTATTTTATTTGTTTTCTAGGGAAGTTTAATCTAATTTAGTTAGCTTGGTTTATTGTCATTTATTTTGGCTGAACCCCTCCTGATGTTATTTTTGCTCCTTATTTCTGTAAATAAATCATATTTTCTTGTTAATTCTTAGTGGTTGTGTTTTTGGTATATTTTGGGGAGAGAGAGCGCGGGGGCACCAGGGATTATATTTTTAATCCCTGTTATTTTGTTACGTTTTTGGTTACATCTCTTTTTGATTAAGGATTTTTAATTTAATTCGTAACAATATTATAGGTAGATACAGACTGGTACAGACTGATGTGACTGGAGTGGGGTGGGGGTGTTTTATTTATAGATATATACGCCTTTTTTTTTAGGTGAGGGAATGGAAGTTTTGAGTGAGTTCCCCCACTTTTTTCCCTAGGACTTCAATAAGTCAAAGTACAGGTCTAGACTTGATGATGATCATCTTCAAGCCATACTGAGGGTCTCAACTGCTTCCGCTCTAAAGCCAAATGTGGTTCAGATTTGTGAGAAGAAGCGCTGTCAAGTCTCTGGCAGCAAGAAGTAGGCAAAAGATGCCATGTTCAGAAGAACTGTTCATAATCTTCACTCAATGTTCTATTAATGTTCAGGAAACTTCATGTTCAGAAGAAATCATTAAAACTGTTAATAATGACATTTGAGGACTTTTTTTTGTGAAATCCCTTATGCGGCCCAGACTTTGCCTCCTGCGGCCCCCAGGTAAATTGAGTTTGAGACCCCTGTTCTAAAGTGTTACCCTCATTTACAGCAGGTAGTATAAACATGCAGCAAAAGTCACTTTATGAGTATATTTAATTACACAGTGAAACCCAGCAAGTCAAGGCAACTCCAACCGTGAGGAAACCGATTGCAACAATTCATTTAAGTTATAAAACTAATCCTAATGAACACTGTAAACTTAATCCATTTGAGTAAACGAAGCAATTTGAGCACAGTTAATAAATGAATATAAATGAATAAATATAATAAATAAATGAATAAATGAAAAGAACTCAACCCAACTGAGTACTGTAAAACCTAGTAAGTGAAGGCAACTCAAACCGCTTGAGGAAACCGATTGCTACAAACCATTTGAGTACTAATCCATACATGTACTGTGAACTTATTCCATTTAAGTTGAATTAATGAGGTATTTAATGAAATCATTACCTTCAACACTGAGTTAAACTCTTTTCAAATGAGAAGAAATAACTTTCAGTCAATTTTGAGTTAAGTACACTCATTTCATTAAATAAAGTTGACTGTTGGGTTTTACAGTGTATGTATACATAGATAACACATGAAACATCATCATAAATGTTTACCTGAAGTCTTAAGAGTCATGGAATTTTTGTAGGATACGTGTATGAACCCTGTATTAATAAACAGCTAATTAGTAGCTTATTAGGCTAAATGATTTGGTGATAGTGAGAATTGTACCTTAAAATAAAGTGTACTACTTGTTTGACTTTGTAGGCGGCTATAGAGGAACTGTTGGAGAAAATCTGTGGTTATTTGCCTGAACATTATGAGGACACGTGCAACACCTTTGTGAAAACCTATGCAAAGCAGTTAATTGAGCTCCTGCTGTACTCCATGCCTCCTCATGCCATCTGCACCGCACTGGGACTCTGTCTCTTACCAGAAACGCCAGCGATGGCCTGTGAGTAGCACAAACTACAGCAGTAAACAATCTCACTGCTAATTACTTTAGTCAATCAAATCATCTTTATTTCTATAATGCTTTTACTATGTAGGTTACTATTTAAACTTAACATGCATAACGTAATAATGTGTAATGCCTGTTAACCCTTGTGTGCTGTTGTGGATGTTTTCATCCACTCTGAGGTGATTTTGAGGGCTCTATTTTGACGGTCCATACGCAGAGCGCAAAACGCAGGGCGCAAACACTTTCAGGGCGTGTCAGGACGCTTTTTTGCTAATTTAAGGTCGGGAAATCTGCCTTGCGCCAAGGCGCATGGTCTAAAAGGGTTGAGTTTATTTTCTTAATGAGTTATAGGTGTGTTTTGAGAATAAACCAATTAGAGTCTCATCTCCCATTCCCTTTAAGACCAAGCTGCGTCGCGCCAAGAGCGCATTCGCTATTTACAGGACGCAAAGTAAGTCTAAGTGGAAAAAATGAGCATTTCACAAGCAAACAGTTAACAGTTAACAGTTTTTTAACAGAAAACGGTTAAACAGAGCATCTACTGCGTGAGAATGAGAGATAATGGATCACTTTCACTTTCGCTCTTGGATAGGGAAACCTTTACGCACAGACATCAATTAGCCTGTAAATAATTAATTTAGTTTGTTAAGCGCAAAGATTTGTTTCAAAACTATTTCTAAATTCAGTTCTAATTTCTAGCAAACAATAAATGAACAATAATAACCAAGTGTGCTCAAAAACCTGAGTTATTTCCAAATACACCTGCCATGCCCCATATGGTCTAAAACCTGACAGGTGGGCAAATCTAAGCTTGTTTTTAATAAAACAAATATAAATATGGATATAATAAATAATACTGCTAATAATAATAACATTATACAAAAGCAAATTGTTATGAATGAACTGAAAAAGCCTCCCGAGATGAAGAAGACATAAAAGCAGTGATTTTTCATATTTATGTAGGCTAGAAAATAATATGTTTTGTAATATTTTAATCCTTTATATTTATATTCTATATCTATTCTTATTATATACTATATATATCCTTAATATTGAAATTTTTTCATATGTAAAGATATTTGCCTATTGCTCTCTTGTGCGTCTTAAGCAGTGTGTAAGCGGGGCTCAACTCTGCGCCGGAGTTTAGACCGGGTTAGTTTTGGTCTTTTGAAAAATCTAATATAGTTTCTCAAAATAGCAACGCACCAGCGGTCCGCCTCAGAATGCCTTCCTTTTTAGACCAGAACACCTATGGGTGCACAAATGAGCGCTAATGCATTTGCTATTTAAACAGTGTAGCGCAACGCCTCAAAACGACTCTTGCGCCAAGCTGAAACTACCAAAAGACTACTGCGTCACGCCTTGCGCCACACTGCGCCGGGTGTATGATAGGGCCCTGAGTCTTAATTTGGCCACAACTACCTCTGTGTTTCAGCAAAAGGGATGATGTTTGGTGACAAATCTTATTTTGACACATATTTTGGGACAATGCTTTAAAAAATACAAATAAAAACCCTTAATAACACACTCTGGGGAAACTGACTACCCTTTCATTATGTTGGGGGCTGTTTTTGCCCCATTGACATCCATTATAAACAACACTTTTTGATTGCAAAGCCATGACAGCATATAATCATGCATTCTTGATTGTTGGTGGTTTTCCCTGTTGGGTCAAACTTGTAAATTTTACTACAAACTTGGCAGACGCACACAATGTGTTGTGGCCAATAGTGTATTAGCAATATTAGAATGTGGACGGTTCTACACTTTGAATTCCTACCAAAAGTAGACCATCCGGTAAACTTTGGCATTACTCTTTTCTACATACTATGTTTGGGGACATGCTGATTCTATTAGGACAGATAGTATGCAAATTAGCACACAGCAAGTGTTTTATTCATAAATAAGAGGAAGTAAAATGCATGCAAACCATTGTTGGAGTCCTGGGGTCACATTTAAAATGTAGCATACACACAAAACAGAGATGAAAATGTGCAAAAGTTGTGATCTATTATTAAAAACAAACTTGACGGGAGAATGTGCTGTAGGTAAACTAAGTAAACATATTTAAGTTAAAATATTGATTTTATTGAACCACTTTAAATGAGCAATAGTCATTAATATGTAAATAAAATTTATTTGTGTGTGTTCACTTTTATGAAGATTTATTTTATAAATCAGTCCACTGGTTATTAAGAGGATATTCAGCCAAAAATAAGAAGATATTCTGGATAAAGCTGAAAACCTGCAATCATTGACTTAAATAGTATTTGCTTTTCCTACTATGTCAATGATTTTCAGAAATATTTCAGGAAAATGCTTTGAAAATGAAAAAAACAAACTCAACAATACACTGTGGGAAAATCGACAACCCTTTCATTATGTTGGGGGCTATTTTTGCCCCATTGACTTCCATTATAATTAAATTTTTAGTCTTCGAAATATCTTATTTATTGTTCAACAGAATAAAGAAACTCGTATAGCTTAGGTAAAGCGTGAGTAAATGATGACATCATTTTCAGTTTTGGTTATACTATCCCTTTAAGTGAATGTAAATGACTGTGATCATCCCTAATATGTGAATTCTGCTGTTTTTCTCTTCAGTATCCGCCTCACAAACGGACTGTGACTCCTGTAAGATTCTAGCGGTTCTTTCCCAGTTTCATTTGGGTCTCAACGCAACAGACACGCAGACGTCTGACCTGCTAAACAAGATTTGCCACCTCCACCCTGACGCCATCCCTCAAGTACTGATCACCAGCACAATACTGTATAAAAACACAGTGGATGCACCCCAAATTGCATCTTCCCTACTATATAGTACAGTGGTAGGAAACCTATAGCTAGCGAGCAACATGTGGCTCTTTGACAAAAAATAGGAGGCTCTCCAGTGGTCTCCGTTTGATAATAATATTTTATAGTTTAAAAATGGCAACAACTTCTATTTTTATATATATATATATATATATATATATATATATTTTTTTTAACACTATCAGTTAAAAGTTTGGGGTCAGTGGTATTTTTAAATGTTTTAAAATAAGCTTCTCCTGCTCACCAAGGCTGCATTTATTTTATCAAAAATACAAAACAAATTGTGAAATGTTTTTGCACTACAAAATAACTGTTCAAAAGTAGTTTATCATTTAATTAAATAATTTATTCCAGTGATTTAAATGATGAATTTTCAGCTTCATTACTTCAGTCACATGATCCTTCAGAAATCACTCTATTATTATTATTTTTTTTTTTTGGAATGATAATAGTAATAAAAGCAATAATGACTCAGTAATAATTTTATTTTAAAACTACATACAATAAGACAGCAGTCATTAAAATTTTGAATTTTTAAATATAAAGTTGAAGTCAGAATTATTAACCCCCCACCCTTTGAATTTTTTTTCTTTTTTTAAATATTTTCCAAATGATGTTAAACAGAGCAAGGAAATTTTCACAGTATGTCTGATAATTTTTTTCTTCTGGAGAAAGTCTTGTTTTATTTCGGCTAGAATAGTAGCAGTTTTTAATAATAAAAAAAAAAACATTTTAAGGTCAAAATTATTAGCCCCTTTAAGCTCATTTTATTTTCAATATTCTATATCGATGGTTTGTTCTGTAGACTAAATTGCCTAATTACCCTAACCTGCCTAGTTAACCTAATTTCCTTAGTTAAGCCTTTAAATGCCACCTTAAGCTGTATTTGTGTCTTGAAAAATGTCTAGTCAAATATTATTTACTGTCATCATGGCAGAGATAAAATAAATCAGTTATTAGAGATGAGTTATTAAAACTGTTATGATTAGAAATGTGTTGAGGAAATCTCTCTGTTAAACAGATATTGGAAAAAAATAAAATAAAAGGGGAGGCTTATAATTCTGAATTCAACTGTATATGTAAATAAATTCACTTAATATTAATATTTAATAATGCATAAAGCAATATTACCTAAAAATGTCAGTTTTGATTTCTTAGTGACTTTAAATGTAGGTATATAATTAATAACACTGGACCCAAATCCTTTTAAAAATCTGTTTAAAATCGGAGCAATAAATCATACAATACAATCTTTCAGTACATACATTCAACTGAATATACAGTGAAAATCTAATCTGACACAAAACCAATGTACAATATTGTACAATCAGTGTCTTGCAGGTTTCAGGATTTTAATGTCATGATTTTGACTATTTTTTTAAGTCTGATTTTTGTCTCTTTCCTCTCTAACAGTGTGAAGGCTTTGTGAAGTTTCACGGCCACAGACTCCTGAAGACTGACGGGAAACATCCTCTGATTACTGCATGTCTGGTAAACACTGTTTAAGATCATCACTGCTATTACTGTTCACCTCTACACACTATATATATATACATACTGTTGAAGTCAGAATTATTAGCCCCCCTTTTATTTTTTTATATATATTTTTTTAATATTTCCCAAATGATGTTTAAAAGAGCAAGGAATTTTACACAGTATGTCTGATAGTATTTTTTCTTCTGGAAAAAGTCTTGTTTGGTTTATTTCAACCAGAATAAAAGCAGTTTTAAATTTTTTTTAAACACCATTTTAAGGTCAATATTATTAGCCCCTTTAAGCTATTATTTTTTTTTTTTTTTGATAGTCTACAGAACAAACCAATGTTAGACAATAACTTGCCTAATTACCCTAACCTGCCTAGTTAACCTAATTAACCTCGTTAAGCTTTTAAATGTCACTTTAAGCTGGATAGAAGTGTCTTGAAGAATATCTAGTCAAATATTATTAACTGTCATCATGGCAAAGAGAAAATAAATCAGTTCTCAAAGAGATGCGTTATTAAAACTACTCTGTTTAGCAATGAGTTGAAGAAATCTTCTCTACGTTAAACAGAAATTGGGGAAAAAAATTAACAGAGGGGTTAATAAATCTGACTTTAACTGTATATATTTTCTCTTTGTCAACAGAAAGATGACCTTTGCAGAGGACAATTCTGAAAGAGATCCACTGAATGGGATTTCAGCGGCCAAGCGGTTTCTTTGTGACATTTGTTAACGCTGCCTAATTACTTATTATTTTGTCTTGTACAAACCGATCAAATGTTTTTTTTATAATAGTTTTTGTTTGTCTCTCTTCTAGTCACCAGGTCAGCAATTATTTAATCCAAAGTACAGCAAAAAAAAAAAAAAACACAAAACTTTGAAAAGTTTTTAATTAAAATAGCTGTTTTGAATATATTTTAAAAAGTAATGTATTCCTGTGATTTAATTTGTCTAGTTTTAACATTACTCTAGTCATAATCCTGAAATAATTGCTGTCAAAAGGAAATTATTTGAATATTTTGAAAACACTTTTTTTTAAATAATTATTATTATTATTTTGAAAACAACCGAGCAGAAAATTTTTTAGCCATGTTTGATGAAGAGAATTCAGTAGAACAGCATTTATCTTTGCATAATAATCTTTTGTTTACATATGAATATCTGTCATTAAGCATGTATAATGTTACAAAATGTTTTGATTTCAGATAAATGCTGATCTTTCTAAACAATAACATAATTCTCAACTTAATAAATATTAATAGTAACAAATACCACTACTAATAAACATTTCTTTATCAGCTAGTCAGCATATTAAAATGATCTCTGAAAGATGGTTGTGAATGACTTATGAAGTGACAGGAGTAATGATGCTACAAATTCAGCAATGAAATCACATTTACTAAATATTCAAAAAATATATAATATTAAAACTGTACTGTTTTCACTGTACTTTGGGTCATATAAATACAGACTTGGTGAGCAGAATAAAAAAAACATTAAAAATATTGGTTGTGCTTTTTTTGACCATTAGTCAATTTAATGAAACATTTAATAGGAAACTAGTCGACTTTACCAACAACTTGAGTAAAACTACTGTATATTAAACTGTATGTAACTTCCTCGTTTTCATTTTGAGGTGATGTAAAAAGAGTGGAAAAGAATCTTTAAAATTGTTTGTATTTGTTTTATGAATGCGGCTGAAAATATTCTACAAATCTCTCAATAAATAAACACAGCCACGTTTGGTTTTATACTACTGTTTGTAGTGGTGCTTTTTCACATCTGGAATGTATCACATTACAAAACCATAATGAAAAAACAGTCAAGTGAATCCTCATATTGATTTAGGACTAGGACTGTGTGATTAATCGAAATCGAATCGCGATTTGAAACGTTGCAATTAGTTAATCGCAAGAGGCTGCGATATGAAATGTATATGTATTATTTAGTTTCCCCCTCCCAAAGCAAATGTGTGACTGCCGTCTGTGTGCCAATTGAGTGAGCTAATTTTCATTCTGTCTAATCAAAATTTTGCGCAACCGAACTATATGGAACATCCACAATAAAAAATAAAAAAAAAGAAAACAAACAGGTAGTCACGTACAAGTGGGATAATGGTGTCTGCTGGTTCAGAAGCTCTAATAGATGAATTAAAATAAAAAGAGAAAGAGCATTGGTAATATGGGAATATTTTGGTTTTAAACTCACAGACACTGAATAAAAACAGGCCATTTTTAAGAGCTGTAGCAGAATTGTTGCCGTGACTGATTATTGAGCTGAAGCTTGATTACAAAATTAAATCGCAATATCTGTTAAAAAAATAAATAAGTAAAATTAAAAAAATAAAATAAATAAATAAATAAAAATTCGCAATTAGATATTTTCCTATCTAATACCTAGGACTGATTTCTGCTTCAGCACATTGAATGTAGAGCAAATTAAGAACAAAAGCAACATCAAATGTTTTTGCTTTGATGTCTTCACAATATTATTAATTAAAAAATATTCATTAATTTTCCTTCAGGTTCAGTCCCTTATTTGTCAGGTGTCGCCACATTTGCTTTTTATTTAAATTTCTTTGGTCCCACATTATATTAAGTGGCCTTAACTAATAAGTACTTACACAGGAATTAATAGTTTGTTACAAAGTTCTTATTGTGTAAATACATGTATTTATTGTGTACTTATGCTTGATTAAATACATGTATGTAATTACATCTGTAATTATCTTTTGTAATTACATTTGTAAATACACTGTTGAACATCCCTTACACCTTAACCCACCCTTAAACCTACCCAAACCACCAACCCTGTCCATAAACCAACCTCTATCCCAATTCAAGAGCACCACAAGCGTTCTCAAATACATTATAATTAAACACACTAAGTACATTGTATTTATTTTTTGATGTAAGTGCATAGTAGTTAAGGACACTTGATATAAAGTGGGACCATTTTTTAAATTGTGGATGTTCCATATAGTTCGGTTGCGCAATTTTGATTGGACAGAATGAAAATTAGCTCAATCAATTGGCACACAGACGGCAGTCACACATTTGCTTTGGGAGGGGGAAACTAAATAATACATATATACTTCATATCGTAGCCTCTTGCGATTAAATAATTGCAACATTTCAAATTGCGAACGCGATTCGATTTCGATTCCACAGCGGAATGAACTGCCAACTATTCCAGCATATGTTTCATGCAGCAGATGCTCTTCCAGCTGCAACCCACTATGGCCAATTTAGTTTATTTAATTTATCTATAGCGCATGTGTTTAGACTGTGGGGGAAGAACCCAGAGGAAACCCACGACAACAAAAATACCAACTGGCCCAACAGGACTCGAAACAGCGACCTTCTTGCTGTGAGGCGACCACTGAACCATTTTGCCGCCCAAAATAAAATAAAATTCAAGACGTGATACGTAGTTTTGAAAACTTTAATAATACAACCCCACACTACACACTGCCCAACATCACAATCAAACAGACTTAAAATTACAGAAATGTGATTTATTCACCTTCATTCCTCAGCAGAGTTATGTTTGATGAAACATGACAGGGTTCTCTTCTCTTTTCTCATTGTGTGTTTTACTCAGTCCTTCACTGTTGAAACATGTGGTGTGCTTGATTCACCTCTGAACACGAGTGATGCTTTCATGTTAGTCTCTCCAATGCTGTGTTTTTGCAGTCCTCTTATGCTCCTGTGTGGCTTTTTGCTCCATCTTGCTTATCTTGTCTCTTCCAAATCTGCAAAAGAATTTAGTGAATATTTAGAGTGTACCGGGTTTCTGATGAAGCCTTGTTTATACATTCATTTTGGGAAAAGGTAGATGACAACAACTACTAACATAGATCTGATGTGAAGCTTTTTATGAAATATCTAACAAAGAATTTACCAAGAAACGACATCCACAAAAGTACTTGAACTTAAAATATTTGTTTCATATTTTGAGAAGTCAGATAAAAACCAGAGAGTCAACAAAAGAGGAAACTAGCACTTCTGATTATTGATGATTTCTTCATGTGTGTAAAATATATCTATTTTTTAAATCAGTGGCAAAAACTCTTAAATTCAGAATGGACTGACGATCAAAATGTATTCTTGAGTGTTTGCAGAGCAACATAATTTCCTTCTAATACTTAAACCAGAAATATATGTACACTCACTGGCCACTTTATTAGGTACACCTTACTAGTATCGCATTGGACCCCCTATTGCCTTAAGAACTGCCTTAATCCTTCGTGGCAGAGATTTAACAAGGTACTGGAAAAATTCCTCTGAGATTTTTGCTCCATATTGACATGATAGCATCACGCAGTTGCTGCAGATTTGTCGGCTGCACATCCATGATGCGAATCTCCCGTTCCACCACATCCCAAAGGTGCTCTATTGGAATGAGTTCTGGTGACTGTGGAGGCCATTTGAGTACAGTGAACTCATTTTCATGTTTAAGAGATGATTTGCGCTTTATGAAATGGTGCTTTATCCTGCTGGAAGTAGCCATCAGAAGATGGAGACACTTTGCTCATAAAGGGATGGACATGGTCAGCAACAATACTCAGGTAGGCTGTGGCGTTGAGACGATGCTCAATTGGTGCTAATGGACCCAAAAGGTGCCAAGAATATCTCCTCCACACCATTACACCACCACCACCAGCCTGAACTGTTAATACAAGGCAAGATGGATCCATGCTTTCATGTTGTTGATGCCAAATTCTGACCCGACCATCTGAATGTGGCAGCAGAAATCGAGACTCATCAGAGCAGGCAACGTTTCTTCAATCTTCTATTGTCCAGATTTGGTGAGCCTGAACAAATCGTAGCCTCAGTTTCCTGTTCTTAGCTGACAGGAGCGGCACCCGGTGTGGTCTTCTGTTGCTGTAGCCCATTCGCCTCAAGGTTGGACGTGTTGTGAGTTCAGAGATGCTCTTCTGCAGACCTCGGTTGTAACGAGTGCTTATTTGAGTTACTGTTGCCTTTCTATCAGCTGGAACCAGTCTGGCCATTCTCCTCTGATCTCCAGCATCAACAAGGCATTTGCGCCCACAGAACTGCTGCTCACTGGATATTTTCTCTTTTTCAGACCATTCTCTGTAAACCCTAGAGATGGTTGTGCGTGAAAATCCCAGTAGATCAGCAGTTTCTGAAATACTCAGACCAGCTTGTCCGACACCAACAACCATGCCACGTTCAAAGTCACTTAAATCACCTTTCTTCTCCATTCTGATGTTCGGTTTGAACTGCAGCAGATCGTCTTGACCATGTCTAAATGCATTGAGTTGCTGCCATGTGATTGGCTGATTAGAAATTTGCGTTAACAAGCAGTTGGACCTAATAAAGTGGCCGGTACATGTATTATTGTAGTATAAATTTGTAAACGAATTCATTTTATTCTGTAAATGAATACTGCGCTGCATATTAAAATATCTTTAAACTCAACACAAAACAAACAACAAATCCACACCAACTTAGTGTAAACAAAACACGCATTACCCACAAATGGCTAAATATCATCCACTTCCTTATTTTAACCCCAAACCATTATAAGTGAAATTAGTCAAACCTGTATGTAGGCCTCTGAGAGCGTGATCATCTGGGGAAGAATATCAATCACCTGCAGGTCCTGAAGCTCATACCATTTCCCTGTGCCCTGCCAAACATTACACACCATACACGTTATACTCAGGGTTCCTGCACTTTCATGAACAGCAGTAGTGTTTTTAAAGCACTATTCATTTTAAATCAAGCACCTTTGTACTTCATACCCTAGCATATGTAGCACCATGAAAGTCCTTACTGTACTTAATATTTCACTTACACTTAATATTTACATTAAAAATACCATAGTAATGATAAACAGTCTTTCATCATCACTCACGTGATGAAGAACATGGATCCTGTAGGAGCCTTCAGTGGGTTTTCCATCATGGACGACGTTGGCCACCAGGTCATAGGTGGTGTTTTTCTCTGTGACCTGAGCCTCTTCTGTCAGATACTCGCGCAGGTCAACATTCCTGATTTATAACACAGAGAAAATTGAAATTAAACTAGATGAGACAAGGAGCTTGCGTGAATGTCTAGCTGAGGCGTGAAAACACACGTGATGGGGAAGTTGACGATAGTTGGGTTCTTCTCCACGAAGAAGTTGTTCTTGGTGAATCGCTTGATGCAGAAGATGAGGTACGGAGGAAGCTTGGTGAGCTGGAACCTTTTCAGAAAGTTCTCTTTGTACGTCTTGTACTCCTGTGAAGAGATAATGGAGTCCACTAGATGAGTAAAACTGGATGACTTGGTAAGACCTGATTTGTCACACTGGTAGCTAGTGTTTCTAACATGGCATTTGTTGGTGAAGTCAGTTCACCTTTATGAAAGTCTAATTTATTTATACCTTTCTGATTATTCTTTTACCTTCTCCTGTACAAATCCATAAACATGTGCTTAATGTGTAATTTAGCACTTTGCATTGATTTTCCGTGTTTATGTGTCTGTATGTGGAATATATTTTTCGAACAAACTAGGGCTGGGCGATTTTTTTCATTTTTTTTTTTTTTCAATTAATTTGAATTTACGTTTTGACAACGATTTAATTTTATATTAAATCGAGAAATCGCGATTTTGAAAAAAAAATTGTGATACTTTAATGTTACCAATAAAGATAACATTAACATGGAGTTTGTTATTTTATTTATTCCCAGATGTAGAACTCACAACATTTGGTTGTTGTAATAAAGCATTTGTAGTTGTCGTAGTTATTTTTTGATTTTGTGCATATGTGTGTGTGTGTGTGGTCAAACTGCAACATAGAAAAGAAACAAATAAAGTACTACTAATTAATCAAAGCTATTTCACTTAATACCTAACACATCCCAGTGTAATCAACATTTCAGTGCAATAACTAAACATAACCATATTCAGAGCATATGAGCTTCTACAATAGTTACCTAAACACAAAACACTCCCTAATACGACAGAAAAAAATCCACTGACAATCATCACTAAACATATAAAGCAAAAAGGAGTGTAGTTTAGCATTAATCAGCTAATAATCACATTAGGCGCTTAGGCGCTAACTTTACTTGGCGATCTCAAATAGACTATTCAAACTTCACAAAAGTGATACCAAAACAAAGATTAAACTTTCTTACCACACTGAGAACAGGAAAATATCAGTTTTTGAACAGGTTTACAGGTTATCTGTGCACAACAACATGAGTCACTTGCTGAGCATTGTGTACTTTTTTGCTTGTGTTGTTTTTTTTTTTATCCCAGAGTCCAATGCGATCTCCCGCATTACTTTCTCTTAAAGGGGACAGAAGCCAACAATTATAATGGCACCAATCAGGCACGTCCACACATAGGGCTTAACCTGTGCAGTGCACATGCCCTTTTTAGTCTTGGATAGAAAGTGCCCTTCCGAAATGATCTGAAGTGCCCCCGCTCCACCCATCCTCCGCGACAACAAAATAAGTAAACAAATACAAGTAAAAACCTCATTTAAGCCACCGAGAACATAACAATTAAAATGACTGAACGGCAAATATAATTTCCAAATCATTTACCAGGGTATCTACAGGTTTATATTTAGATTTAAGACCTTTTTAATACCACGCAGAATAAAGTTAAAGATCAATAGTAAAGTATAATTTTTTAAAGTACCAAAAAAACACACAACACAACACAATTAATTACCATCCTTAACACTCTTTTTACATATAGAAAGAGTAAAAAAATGAGCAGAGAAACTAGTAATAATAATTGAGGTGCAGCGGCAATTACCATTCAGGCCGGTCATGCAAAAAACCATCCAGTTCCAGTCCCTGGTCAGTTGATCGATGCATCTCTAGCTCTTTATTTGCTAATCCATGGGTTGACACAGCTGCTATAGAGTAACATTTTGATAAAAGTAATATGATAAATAGGCGATGCAGTGGCGCAGTAGGTAGTGCTGTGGCCAAGCAGAAAAGAAGATCGCTGGTTCGAGCCTCGGCTGGGTCAGTTGGCGTTTCTGTGTGGAGTTTGCATGTTCTACCTGCATTCATGTGGGTTTCCTCTGGGTGCTCCGGTTTCCCCCTCAATCCAAAGACGTGATACAGGTGAATTGGGTAGGCTAAATTGTCTGTAGAGTATGAGTGTAAATGAGTGTGTGTGGATGTTTCCCAGAAATGGGTTGCAGCTGGAAGGGCATCCGCTGCTTAAAACATGTGCTGGATAAGTTGGTGGTTCATTCCGCTGTGGTGACCCCAGATAAATAAAGGGACTAAGCCAACAAGAAAATGAATGAATGAATAAGATAAATAAAAATAAAAACAAAATCTTCTTTATGGGGTCAGATCGATTCAATTGCATTTTTAAGACCTTTGAAAAGCAGATTTAAGACGCTTTAAGATTAATTAAGGTCTTATCTTTATACTATGGAATTTAAGACACTTCTGTGAACACCATGACTGACAAACAAGCAAGAAAAACAAACAGACAAATTGCAAAAAATTGCACCTTCTCTGTGTTCCCATTGAACTTTCCCAGGATGTTGAAGAGCGGGACCTGAGGAATGATGAGCTGCTCCTTCTCATCTTTGTAAAGTGGTGCGGTGGGCAGATCCAGGGTCAGGTAGAGGAAGGTGGACTCCGACATCTCCTCCTGATACTCCTCCTTCAGCAGAAGAGCTTCTTTCTCCTCTGGAGGCTGACAGAAAGAAAACAATTACTCACATGAATGAATGACTTATCCCATTTGGCAAAGAGCTGAAGGCCAAATTATTAGCCCTCCTGTGCAATTTTAATAATTTTTTTGAAAAGTTCACAAGTGATGGTTAAAGAAGAGTTCTTTTCGACACACTGATGACATAATATTTTTCTAGCTATTTTGCTTTCATATTTAGCTTGGAGAGCAATTTAAAGAATTTAATTCTGTAGGTCATTAGACAAGAGAGGTTTGTTCTGTAGCCAATTTGGAAAAAATAATAAGTTATTAAGAGGGCCAATAATACTGACCTTAGCAAGTTTTTGAGTAAGAGCTGAGTAAGGCTTGGTTCAAACCAATTAGCGCGCTCTATTGTGCAGCTTCATTAATATTCATTAGTGTCACCGTGTTTACGCCACAGAGACGCCACGTTGTGTTGGCAAAACAAGCGTGAAGTGTTGCTTTTATAGTTTGCTGCCGTTAAGTTTTGTTTTCATTTTCTCTCTGTGAGAGCTCATCTGGAGTCACGTGTGGATTAACAGTGTACGCGACGCTCGACAACAATAACTTATGTGTCTAAGGAGGATTATTGTTTACCTGAGAGCTGTTCTCATCTGCAAACGCTGAGATCCGGATTCGCTTGTAGTCTCCTCTTAATAAAGACGCGGCTCTAGTTGCTGGTGATTGTCCTGTCTCTACAGATTTGGTAAGTGAGCGACCAGTGCTATTTGTTTATTCAGTTTGTTCGTATCGAACTAACGTTGACTATTGCACAGACTGTAAACATGTTAGCATCACAACCAAACTTTAACCTCGTGTAGGATTTTCACCGCATTTTGTGACCGGAATAACACACGCGGCTTTCTGACGCTACCTGCCGAGTGCATCTAAGTTTCCGGGAAATGCTGAGTTTTTTTTCTCTCATTCGCTGTGCGGTATCAAACATTGCATGAAAAATACACGCTTAGAGCAGCTCCTCGAATCAAATATCTCGTTTGTCGCGAGGGACATGAATGAATTCCCTGAATGAAAGAGCCAAACTGTAGTTAAAGTCCACCATTTAATAATTTGGCAAATAATTCGACTACAGATGTCCATGTAAACACAGTCACTTTGTCCCCTGTGTGTGTGTGTGTGTGTGTGTGTGTGTGTGTGTGTGTGTGTTTTGACTCTGTAAGTCAGCGCGCCCAAATAGACAATCTCACACCATGCCTCTTTACTTTCTCCGACACTCCCCCCTAAACAGAGCTGGACACGCCCACTTTTCGTGGTTATGACCACCTGTTGTTGATGTCAAAGGGGTAAATCCTCCTGCCTACACCGACATCAGTTCATCAAACTGGGCTCGGCTCAGTCAAATGCATTGCTAAACGCTTCCATTATCCAGGTTAAGTTCCTGGAGTAGTTTATGAGCTCACAGAGCTGGGTGCACCTCTGAAAGGATCTAGTGGACTCAGACACGACTCCAAATGAATCGACGTTGTTTTTAGCCTTCATAACATAACACAGTCATTTTCTCAATAAAATCCATGTTAGCCATTCAGCAACAGTCACCAGGCAGACAGAAGCCCTGTCCATGATGAGAATACGTGTCTGTTCTGATATGGATTTGACGTGCCAATTAAGCCGATTTTGATGCGCCAATCAAGCAGATTTTGATGCGCAAATGAAGCGAATTTTGACGCGCAAATCGAGCAGATTTTGACATGCCTATCAAGTTGATTTTGATGCGCAAATCAAGTCAATTTTAACGCACGAATCAAGTGGAATTTGACATGCGAATCAAGCAGATTTTGACGCGTAATTGAAACGGATTGTATGCGTGAACAAAGCGGGTTTTGACGCGAGAATGAAACGGATTTTGACGCGCGAATCAAGCGGTATTTGATGCGCGAATGAAGCCGATTTTGATGCACAAATTAATCGGATTTTGATGCACCAATCGAGCAGATTTAGACGTGCCTATCAAGCGGATTTTGACACGCAAATCAAGCCAATTTTAACGCACGAATCAAGCGGATTTTGATGCGCGAATCAAGCCGGTTTTGACAGGAGAATGAAGCAAATTTTGACGTGTGAATCAAGCGATTTGACGCGCGAATGAAACAGATTTTATGCGTGAATGAAGAGGGTTTTGACGCGAGAATAAAACGGATTTTGAAGCGAGAATGAAGCGAGTGAACTCAAAATGTTTGTGCGTCTATTTATGCACGAATATCGTGATTTATCCGCGCGGTCCATATCTGGTGTGAATATAGCATGAGTCTTGTTTTTATTACTGATAAACAGCAGGACCAGGTATAATAGGCTGCATTTACACTAATGCACACATTTATTTTTTAACACATAAGACTTTTTGCCCTATCATAAACTGTTTACAATAGCGCATTATGAAAGCATTTTTTATGTACTAATATAAACATGCAGTGTAAACATCCAAATGGGATAAAGGAAGCATTTATAAAGGACTGAAAGGTAAAACACAACAAAAGCTTTCTCTAATGTGCACAGGTGTGAATTTGCTGCACAAATCTTGAATTGCACCAGAGAACATATTTTACAGGAGACACATACCAAGTCTGGATGGGGAAGTTTCTTTGAGAAGATTCGCATGGACCCCTGAAATGCCTTGGTGATGATGGCTGCAGAAGAAAAGAACATTCAATAACTGATGAAAAAAAAATATATATATATATAATAAATAAATAAATAAATAAATAAATAAATAAATAAACAGAAATGATTTGGGAAAAGGAGCACATAAAACAAAACTCACAGGATTTCTTCTTTGTTCCACCAAGAGCACCATGCAATGCATTCAGGAACCAGGAGAGAAAGTCCACAGCGTCACCTAGTGGGTAAAAAGCACAACATCAGTTTAAAGTAGGGCTAGGCCAGGGGTGCCCAAACTCAGGCCTGGAGGGCTGGTGTCCTGTAAAATTTAGCTCCAACTTCCTTTAAAACACCTGCCTGGAGCTTTCTAGTATACCTAGAAAGAGCTTGATTAGCTGGTTCAGGTGTGTTTAATTGGCGTTGGAACTAAAATATGCAGCACACCGGCCCTCCAGGACGGAGTTTGGACCCCCTTGGCTAGGGGATATTAGAATATATATATTGCGATATTTTGTTTTACTGCAATACATGTTGCAATATGAATATAATTTCACCAGATTGTTTGAAAAGCTCTACATTGAATGGAATGGTCAAGTCTTTTTCTATGCAGTGGATCTGCAGAAGTTACAATAAATTACAAATTAAAATAAATGAAAAAACAAACAGTGCTTCACGGTTTTCTGTGGGGTCTAACAGTATTAAAGTACAGAAATTGACCAATCAAATGTAAAAAACATGGTCATTATATAAATTATTTTAAAAAGTTAATATTTAATAATATCTTTTATTCTTTAATAAATAATCTAATCCTGCGATGTGACTATTGCAGATACACAAATTGTGATATGGATGCTCAAACAATGTATTGTTCAGCCTTAGTTTAAAAGATTCTGTTTTATGGGAATGACCGTTTTTCCCCCGGTTCATTATTATTTATGATTTCAATGTTATGGTTAAATAAAAAAAAAAAAATAGAAACCATAAAGCACATAAATTAACTTAACCATAAATTAGCTATAATTTCTTAAAAACATTTTTATTTTTTGTTTAAATTCTATGTTTCCTTTGTAATTTGTCAGATTTTTTACAGATTGTATATTACATTACAAAAAACTATCGTTAATAATGAATATATGAAATAATAAAATAATTTATTAAAATAATTTACAGTATTCCCAACAAAACCCCCCAAAATTGCTGTTTTTATATTTCTATATTTTCTAAATGATATAAGAAACACAGTTCTGCAGTGCCCAGTATTGACACTATTATCTGCATATAAGGAATTTCATGCAAATTTCAACTTTGCTATGAAAAAATTAAAGTTGCACCAAAACAGCTAAATTGTTTCTACATTTTTTTGTGGCAGCATGTATTTTACAGTACTGTAAAAATACTCAAAAATGTCTCTGTCAATTTTTTCAAACAAGTATATTTGATTTACCAAAGACACACAAGTGCCAATTTCGAATCTGTCACATTCATAACAATGGTGTGTCACATCCATAAACAAGCTTTTCCCTCATAAATGCAAAAAAATGTCAAATAAAATAAAACCAACGATTTTTTATTTATACAGAGCCAACCCATACTTTTGACTAGCATTGTTTTTTTTTGGGTTGTTCAATCAATTCACAAAATTTCTACAAAGTATGATGTAAACTGTAAACTCGTCCAAAGCGCATGTTTATTTCCCTCATTTAAAATATAAAAAATGTTTACAGATTGATGTTTTTCTGATCCCTGTGGTTACTCTGTGGTTAGCAGTTTTGGAAAATATAAACAAATGTTTCAATATGCCAACATACAATCCATAACGCTGGAATAGCTCATACCTTGTTTAGTGATCTGAAAGGTCTTTTTACTGCATAACACCACGGCCTGCAGCATCTCATGCGGTGACACGTGGGCTTTAAAGTTTCGCGGGTTCCAGAGTTTGCGCATAAGCTCCCCGAACCGCTGCACCAGCAGAAACATGATGTCCCCTGGTGGACGGCGAATGCCACGGTAGTTTTCCTCCTCGAGAAAGTAATTTCGTAAAGGTGGCACGTTCGACAGCGCCTTAGAAGAAGAAACAAGAGGTCACTTAAACTCACTGGGGAATATTTACGGGTTTGTCACAGTATTTCCTATTATATTTTTTCATCTGGAGAAAGTCTTATTTGTTTTATCTCAGCTAAAATAAAAGCAGTTTTTAATTTTTGTTAAAAACTATTTTAGGGTCAATATTATTAGCCCCCTTAAGCAATACTGCTTTTCAATTGGTTACAGAACAAACCCTCATTATATAATGACTTAGGGCTGCACAATATTTTAAAGAATTGTGATATTTTGTTTAGCTGCAAAATATATATCACGATATGAATATAATTTCACCAGATGATTTAAATAGAATAGCTCTACTTGGAAAGATTTCACTCATTAGATCGACTGAAATATATATATATATATGTATAAGAAAAATGACAGATTAAATATAAAATCGCCAAATAGTGCTTTATAATTTTCTGGGTAGTCTAACAGTATTGAAATAAAAAATTGAACAAGTAAACGTAAACTAACATGGTCATCGTGGCATAAATAACATCTTTATCAATGTTCAAACAATATATTGACAATATATTTTAATATATAATAAATAAAAAACAGACAACACAAATCAACACAAACATCCAATCATCAACAGGCAAACTGTATCTTTTACCTGTATTAACCTGTATAAGGCAGTAAATCATACTTACAAAATAAACGCAAGTTCAATGTAAACTGATTCAGAGAAGCAGAGTAATTTTAGTTTTACCTGCAATACTACATTAGCGTAGTCATTAGCCTTAATATTATTGAGACCCACAATTCCCGGCAGGTAAGTAGTGCCGTCATAGGCTCTGTACAGCTTTCCCTGCTTATCCAATCCGGAGATGTGCTGTTTGGTGAACGTGGGTTTCAGCACATACTGAAATATAGTCAGAAATACAAAACAAGCATGCTAAAAGACCATCATAATAAGTAATTACATGCAGTACTTAGCAAAAAAAGATGGTAAATAAACTAGTAATATGACACAAACATATAAGAGATATGATAATAAATACATAAAACACTTATACATACAACTAAGCATATAACATAAACAGACTGGCAACCATCAACTTTTAGTCGTATTTGTTTATTATGGTGTGTGTGTTTAGTGTGTGTGTGTGTGTGTGTGTGTGTGTGTGTGTGTGTGTGTGTGTGTGTGTACTTGATTAAAGGAAAAAATGGACTGACAGAATTTTAAGGCATATAAAAGATAGATAAATAAAAAAATAAAATAAAAAAATAGATATATAAAAAAGTTATTAATAATTTGTTTAAAGAGGGAGAATTAAGGATAAATGAACGTATAGAACTTTAAGGGATACAAAAACAGAAAAAGATATATAAATTAATATATAAATAATAAATAAAGTATTTTTTTTTAAATGGAGAGGAAGAAAAAATCTAAATTGATAAAAATGTGTAAAAATGTTTGAGACTGTATAGGATTAAGGAAAAATTTTGATTAACTTTTAAGGGATATAAAAAATAGACAAAAAGATAATAAATAAATAAATAAATAATGAATGAATGAACAAATGAAGCAATTAATTAATTAATTTTTTTTTAAAAAAGGAGAGGAAAATTATGGAAAAAAACATATAAACTTTTAAGGGATATAAAAAATAGAAAAAACTAATAAATAAATAAAGTAATTAAGTAATTAATTAATTCAGGATTTTTAAAAGGGAGTGGAAAAAAATATTAAATGAAATTAATGATAATAATAATACCATTTAAAAGTACTCACTGTAATGTCCTCCAATGAGGAGTCAATGATTTCGTAGTTGTCTGGCAGGCAGTAGAACTTTAACGTGTGGAGATTGAGGAAAACATGGTGTGCGACCTGAACACTGTGGATGTACGCGTGAGACTTCTGACCTCGACCTGACACAAGCAAAATAAAACATCAGGCCAAATATTCCTACAGCGTTTTATACAGTCTGTTTCATTCATTTTCATTCGGCTTAGTCTCTGATTTATCAGAGGTCGCCACAGCAGAATAAACCGCCAACTATATGTTTTACGCAGTGGATGCCCTTCCAGCCGCAACCCAGTACTGGGAAACACCCATACGCACTCATTCACACATGCACACTAATACACAATGACCAATTTAGTTCATCCAGTTCCTCTATAGTGCATGTGTTTAGACTGGGGAGGAAACCGGAGCACCCGAAGAGAACATTTAAACTCCACATAGAAATGCCAACTGGCCCAGCCGAGGCTCAAACCAGCGACCTTCTGTGCTAACCAATGAGCCACCGCTTCAAAACTGCTAAAATATATTTATTATTGTAAATTGGGTGTCTCTTAACTCCAAGATTATCTTGCCTTTTAGTGTGTATCTTCATTTAAAACTTTTGAAGATTAAATGATTAGCTCCTGTGAAATGTTGATTCTTTGTAAAATGTTTCCCAAGTGATGTCTAAGAAAGCAAGGACATTTTTCACAGTGTATTTCAAATCTTAATTCATGAAGTTTGGGTGGAATTTAAAATATTATTTTATAAAAGTTAAAAACTGCTAACGTCAATATTATTAGCACAACTAAGAATTTATTTCAAGTGACTCCAGAACAAAAACTGTTGTTCAATGACTTACCTAAATAACCTAATTAAGCCTTTAAATGTCACTTTAAGCTGAATACTAATACCTTGCAAAATAATTGGTAAATAAAATATTGTGTATCATGGCAAAGACAAAAGATATTGCTGAATATTAGGTGTTTTATTTTTCATAAACTTGGATTCTACATGGACTTTTATTTATACAGTGCTCAGCATATATGAGTACACCCCAGTGATCAGTTCTCTCCGCTCACTTGCTGGCTTTTGTCTCTGCTTGCATGAAACTTTTTGGATTTTTGTCAGTCTTGGGGCGGGACTTGGTTTACTTGATATCTCTCACGCTATTGGTTACCCACCCCCCCAATTGCAAACCTACAGGAAACACTGCACCCCATTTTGAAAATGAATATTTTTATCCATTTCTCAGTCAATATGGGTAATATATGTTAGTGCATTTGAACAAAACAGATTTATTAAGCAGATATATTTATTAAAATCATATTTTTGTCACAGAACATCTTTAGAAATTAAAAGATAATACATTTAAATTCAAGCGAAATATAAAGAATAAACAAACTACAACACTTCAACCAAATTGTATATATCTTTTGTTTCTTTTCATTTTTTTTTTTTTTTTTTGAAAATGTTATTTAATATTTTTCTCTGACATAAATTTGGGCTACTAATTTTTAAACCATTATTGCAAGTTATTTTGTCGGATTAGCTCCAGATTTGGCTTCAGTACTGACTAATCTAATGTATATGCACAAATATAATATTGTGAAGCTTCCTATAGAATACATTAATTTAAATGAGAGATTTGCGGGGGGTATACTCATATATGCTGTGCACTGTGTATTTGAAGCCTAAAATGACAAATTTTGTGAGGCTATTGTGGC